GAAAGTTTGAGGATTTTAAGTTAGAGCTGTTTTAAGCTATGTTTAAAGCTATGTTTTAAGCTGTTTCAAGCTATGCTTTAAGCTATGTTTAAAGCTGTTTAAAGCTATGTTTAAAGCTATGTTTAAAGCTATGTTTAAAGCTATGTTTTAAGCTGTTTTAAGCTATGTTTAAGCTATGTTTTAAGCTATGCTTTAAGCTATGTTTTAAGCTATGTTTTAAGCTGTTTTAAGCTATGCTTTAAGCTATGTTTAAAGCTGTTTAAAGCTATGTTTTAAGCTATGTTTTAAGCTATTTTAAGCTATGTTTAAAGCTATGTTTTAAGCTGTTTTAAGCTATTTTTTAAGCTGTTTAAAGCTATGTTTTAAGCTGTTTAAAGCTATGTTTTAAGCTGTTTTAAGCTATGTTTAAGCTATGTTTTAAGCTATGCTTTAAGCTATGTTTTAAGCTATGTTTTAAGCTGTTTTAAGCTATGCTTTAAGCTATGTTTAAAGCTGTTTAAAGTTATGTCTAAAGCTATGTTTTAAGCTATGTTTAAAGCTATGTTTAAAGCTGTTTAAAGCTATGTTTTAAGCTATGTTTTAAGCTATGTTTTAAGCTATGTTTTAAGCTATGTTTAAGCTATCTTTTGTAGCCTTTCCCAATTGTTTTTATCTTTTTTAAATAATTATGAATTTTTGGAGTTAATTTCAGAGAAAACTTGGCAAAAAGCTTAAGAAAAAGCTAGAAAATGATAAGGCGAAATGAATCAAAAATTGGATTAATAATTTCTGAGCTTTGGAGTTCATTTCAGAGAAAACTTGGCCAACCGAATGTATAACAACAGGAGTAATCTCGAGAATCAGAAGTCAATGAGTCAGGCTAAACCAGATCAGGGTTCAATATTTGAATATTGATATTTGAAGTACTTTTTTTTTTGTACCCTTTTCACTCATTCACTCATTCACTCAACCCCAAGGTCACTAACGCCAAAGAAACTCTCAAAACTGGGTTTACCCCCAACACAACAAGCAATAAAATGCGAAAGTGGATCATAGAGATTTGGAATTTCGTTTTGTTTTTAAGGAAAAATCAAAAATCAAATTAAAACAAATTAAAAATCAAATCAAATTAAAATTAAAACTGAAAATAATGCTCAACAAAGAAAATAAGTTTAGGCTAATACAGTCATGCACAAAAGTCTTGTAACATCCAGTTTAGCAAATTTCAAAGTGTAATAACTTTTTTTTGCAAAGAGGCCAATTCCCAAACAGTTTTTGGTTTTCAGTTGTTAAAAATTTCTATTTTTATATATATATAGATACTTTATTCAGGACCTGAGATAAAGTGCGCTGGATTTAAGATTAAAACACATGAACTCATAAACATAACACGAAAAGGGCCGATAAAAAGAAACACGGTATAATATATGTAAAATGTGTAAAATGACTTCTAACTGATCAACCCAATTTCAATGTCATTAGGCCTTGTGCATTCCAGATTGGACTAATCAAATGAAAACTAGCGGCCAAATTACAGTAGTTTTCTAAAATGCACCTATTCCAGAAAACTACTGTAACCGATACCGCCAGTTTCTAACTGATCAACCCAATTTCAATGCCATTAGGCCTTGTGCATTCCAGATTGGACTAATCGAATGAGAACTGGCGGCCAGATTACGGTAGTTGTCTAAAACACACCTATTCCAGAAAACTACTGTAACCGATACCGCCAGTTTCTAACTGATCAACCCAATTTCAATGCCATTAGGCCTTGTGCATTCCAGATTGGACTAATCGAATGAGAACTGGCGGCCAGATTACGGTAGTTGTCTAAAACACACCTATTCCAGAAAACTACTGTAACCGATACCGCCAGTTTCTAACTGATCAACCCAATTTCAATGCCATTAGGCCTTGTGCATTCCAGATTGGACTAATCAAATGAAAACTAGCGGCCAGATTACGTCGGAAGTTTAATGATTAGTTATGTCGGAAGTTTTGAGAAAGCTATTGTGGAAGATTCGGGAAAGTTATTTCGGAAGTTCTGGGGAAGTTATTTGGGAAGTTATTTGGAAGTTATTTGGGAGGTTTTGGGGAAGTTTTGAGGAAGTTATTTGGGAAGTTAAAAGTTTAAAGTGAAATTCTGTGAGTACTGTACAGTTCTTTAAAAATCAAACATTTAAGTTAATCAAAGAAAAGTTAAAAAACGGATTTCGAAAGAAAAATGGTTGTTCACAAAGAAGATATGATGAAATCGATCGATTTGATGATGCCTTATATACGCCTTATCTATAAACGCCGCCTTATATACGCCTCATATAAAGCGCTGCCTTATATCGATGATGACATCATTAAATCGATGATGACATCATTAAATCAATGATGACATCATTAAATCGATGATGACATCATCAAATCAATGAATGACTGAGAAAACACGGTTTAGAGAACGGGCTAGCGGGTGAGAAATGGATTTTTAAAGCAAGCTGGAACGCACTCTAGTCAAAGCTATGACCGAGAGCTCGTAGAATGACCTCAGCAGATAAAATGATCACTTTTAGAGAAATTCTTTGACCAGAGAATCTTTGATTTGTGCGTTAAGAGAAGGGAAATCAATTAGAATTTTGAGACAATTGCTATCAATTGTCAGCTTTTCTCTTTTTCTGCGTTTATGTCAGCTTTTTCAATCCAAAAAAAAACCTGTCCGTTAAATTTTCACTCAAAAGAAAAGAACAAAAGAAAAACAATAGTTTTAAAGAAAAAAAGAGGGTTTTTTCGGAAGTTTAAATCTTTATTATCAATCAGTTTTTTTTGATGTAGATTGTTTGATTTAGATTAAAGCTGAAAAGGTCACTGAAAAGGTCACTGAAAAGTCTATTTAGTTACAAATGAACTATACCGTAAATACTATAATTGAACGTTGAATTTGAATGTCACCATCTAATAGAACGGCAGGGTTTATTGAAAAGAACTTTTTGCAATTGAAGATGAAGATGAAGCCACTTGAACTTGGAGGGGATTGATGTCGGTTTGGCTGAACGGATCGGCTTGGCTGAATAGATCCGAGAACGCTGAGCTGAAAAGAAACGAGTGGCATTTGAATGAATCATTTGAAAGGAGGCGAATCGATTTGCAGATCAATTCATTTGATCAATTAATTTGATCAATAGAACTGCCGCTTGAAGGAGTCGATCTCCATTTTTTGACTTCCTTCTCTTCTCCAAAGTGCTCTTTAGCCAAATGAACAGACATCTTCTTGAAAAGAGGAAAATCACTAAAACCCAAGTCAAGTGAGTAGAGCAAGAACTTCTCAGCCTAAAGCTTTAACCTTTTCTTGATCAAGTTTGCAATGTGAGCCCGTGCGTTATCATCTTGCATGATCTTTCCCATTTTTAACCGCTTTATTTTATTTCAGAAGCGACTCAATCGAATTGATGAACGTATTTGGATGCCTTGATAGTCACCTCTTCCTCTAGCAACTTCCAGTAAAGAACTCCTTCTCTGTCCCACCAAAAACAACATCAACATCTTCAGGCTTCAGCTCGAACTTTTGTTTTTCGCTTGGAGTGAATTCATCAAGATCAGTCGATCACCCTGACCTCGGCTGATCTTCAAGAGAGAACCTCGGTCAATCTTCGACATTTTGAAATCAATACCAATTGTAGATGTTTCCCATAGTCAATCCATGCCCGTAAATATCGTTAATCTTCTTTTCCTTTTCGTAAACAAAAGCCCTTATCAACTGGTCATGGGAGAGCCTAGAGAATTAGAGAAAGAAAGAAAAAATAGATTGTAAAGACTGTACCAACTGTATATTTTGATTCAGGTAAATAGTGCCAGGGATTTCCAGGGATTACCAGGGATTACCAATCTGGCCCAGAGCTGACCAGATGGGCTTGGGACGAGATGGGCTTAGGACCAGATGGGCTTAGGACGAGATGGGCTTGGGACCAGATTGGCCTGGGACGAGATGGGCTTAGGACCAGATTGGCCTGGGACAAGATGGGCTTAGGACCAGATGGGCTTAGGACGAGATGGGCTTGGGACCAGATTGGCCTGGGACGAGATGGGCTTAGGACCAGATTGGCCTGGGACAAGATGGGCTTAGGACCAGATTGGCCTGGGACAAGATGGGCTTAGGACCAGATTGGCCTGGGACAAGATGGGCTTAGGACCAGATTGGCCTGGGACAAGATGGGCTTAGGACCAGATGTGCTTAGGACCAGATGGGCTTAGGACCAGATGATCTGACTAATCCTAGAACCAGATCAAAAGCAAACTCCTAGCCTACTCCCTTTGCTGATACCAAAGTCTATGACCAGTCTAACGTCAAGTCAGGCTTTATTTCTAGCTCTCCTATAAGCTTTTCGTGGACCAGATGAAGCCAGTTTGTGAATCAGATTTAAACAATCCGTTAAACAATTTAAACAATCAAAAACAAACAAACAAACAAACAAACAAACAAACAAACAAAACAATTCTTCCCATCACAGTCTATTAATTGTTTATTTTCGAATATAAAGCTTGAAATAGAAAGATTTTTGTTTAAAATCTCAATCCGGGAAAGAGATTTCCTCTTTTTGGACGGAAATGCCGAGTTTAGAGTCGGTAAGATCTCCATTCTCGGATTCAATCACATCATCGCCATTCCTCATGTCCTGGCCTTTCTAAAAAGCTTTAAACTTCAGAATTTTATAAATTGAAGTACACAAAAGCAATATTATGTCGATTTTTGAATTCTCTTTGTTTTTTTTCAACTCACCACTTTCGTTTTGATCACAAAACGGTCACTTGCCTCCAAAATTGGCTTCCAATTCTTCCTTGAGTCCGTCTAAATGAAAAAAATTCAATTGTATTGTATTGTATTCTTGTTTTTAAATTTTAACCAAACATTTTCTTTGATCAGCCGTTTTTTATCGTTTCCCGTGGAAGAAGGATTCATTTCTGGGATATGGAGAAAGTGGTGTGGAGTTACTGGATAGCAAGACGACCGTTAATGCAATCAAATACAGTGGAGTTGAATGAAAGAGGTGAATGAATCCCTGAAGATTTTAGTATATTTTAGTATATTTTAGTCTATTTTAGTATATTTTAGTATATTTTAGTATATTTTAGTATATTTTAGTATATTTTAGTATATTTTAGTATATTTTAGTCTATTTTAGTATAGTTTAGTATAGTTTAGTCTATTTTAGTATATTTTAGTCTAATTTAGTATAGTTTAGTCTATTTTAGTATATTTTAGTATATTTTAGTATATTTTAGTATATTTTAGTCTATTTTAGTATATTTTAGTCTATTTTAGTATATTTTAGTATATTTTAGTATATTAATTTTATATTAATTCAATTTTAGTCCCCGGACGCGAGAGGTCTTGATGTGTCGCTGGAGGAGGTGGAGGAGGTGGAGGAGGAGCCCGTGGTTGAGGTGAGTTTTACCTTTCATTCATTATTTGATCCGTTTAATGAGATTTTCACGTTTCAGGTGGCACCTGCCCGTAGACGTAGACGTGCCCGTGGACGTGGACGAGCGAGCTTGAGCGCCGGCAACGTGAGTTTCAGTTTTTGGTCTTTTTTTCTATATCTTACCTTACCCGGGGGCAAAATGTTGTCATGATTTTGCTCCCTTGGTTTCTGAGTTATTTTCTTTTAATGATCGTTTAATGATTTTTCAATTTTAGTCCCCGGAACCGAAACGTCGTGATGAAGAGGAGGATGAAGAGGAGGAGTTGGTGGTTGAGGTGAGTTTTACCTTTCATTATTTGATCAGATAATGAGCATAATGAGATTTTCACGTTTCAGGTGGCACCTGCCCGCAGACGTAGACGTGCCCGTGGAGGAAGCCCAGTGGGTGGTGAAGAGGGGGAGGTGATGGTGAGTAGTTTTACCTTTTACTTTAATGATTTTCTCGTTTCAGGCTGCTGTTGGACGAGGAGGTGGAGGCGGGGCAGGAGCGGCCCGGGGTGGTGCTGGCGGAGGACGCGGAGGAGGACAGCCCATGGCCCGAGGTGGTGACAGCACCTCGGCCGCTCGACCCGCGACCACGTCGCCCCCCCGTGTGGCCGGCCCCCGCCGTCCAAAGCGCAGGTCCAACGAACACGACGAGCGCCTGGCTAGGATCGCACTCATTCTCCAGGTATGTAAACTTTTCGCAAATTCTCTCACTTCATATCTCTTTATGTTTGTGTTTAGTTTATCTCGCTGATCACCGAAGGACGTGAAGTAAATGTGTGGCAGAGGGCCAAAGGATGCTTTTTCCGAGCCTTTGGAATGGAGGCTGATGCCACCAACCTGCGCCGGATTGCCACAAAGATGAATAGGGTGAGAAAATCAAATGATATGATAATATTATGGATAATATATGATGAAATAATATAAATTCAGATGAGGGAGCGAGAGAAACTAATGGAGATGAGGGAGACCCGAAACCACCGCCACTACATCGCCAACCCTTTCAATGGTCCGCTGCGAATCAAGACGCTCGGACGACAACTCAACACAACACTCGTCGAGCACTTGACCGGTAGATTCTTAGAAGCATTTTCTAGTCTATTTTCTATCATCCTAACTTCTTTAATTTAGGATGGAAAGCGGTGTGCTTGGTGGCGAAGAACCTGGTCACACCGTTGCGCCTTGGATTGGCAGAAGCAATCGCTTTCCGCACCGACCAACTGCTCCACTGCCAAGGCATTGTTGACGTAAGAAATTTTGAATTAAATTAAGTGAATTAAGTGTTTGTTTTTAGAATGTCGTCAACGACGAAGAGACGATGGACTTGGTGATGGAGTGGTTTGAGGACGGTGCAGGTTTGAGCTTGCTACGCTTGATCGCCGAACACACCAAGATGATGCGAGGCGGATGGGTCGGGGGTGAGTTTTCAATTTTCTACTTTTGATTTTTATCTGATTTTTCAGTTAGTAAAAAATTTACTATATTCTCTGTTTCAGGCTGGGAGGTTGGAGCCGCCGACGAGGGCGAGGAGAGTGAGGGCAGCAGCGCCGCCGAAGAAGACGTCGACTCCGACGATGAGCAATGATCGCTTTGTTTTTTTTTTATTGTATGTCCCCCTTTGTATGTCTTTTTTCTTGTATGTCCCCCCTTTATATATGTCATAACTTTTGTATCTAATATCTATTTATGTCTTTCGTATGTGGGAGGGATGGCGGGCTCTTTTTAATAAAAATTTTGGGGTAAAAAGTTGTTAAAAAAACGCAAATGAAGAGAATGAAGAGAAAACCATGCACGGCGTACTTTGAGTGGGGCTCTAATCTTACTCAATGTGGCGACGGTTGAAATCATAAGTAACGAAAAAATTACCTAAAATCAATTTGAGGTGAATCTGCTCTCGGGCAGAATCTTCACCTGTTTGTTAATTGCTACCGTTATTTCTCGACGAGGAGCAATGATCTCTTTGCTTTTTGGTAACGGTAACGAGTCTTTTTCTCGATGCCAACAAATCATCTTGTACTCGGCGTACTTTGAGTGGGGCTCTAATCTTACTCAATGTGGCGACGGTTGAAATCATAAGTAACGAAAAAAATTACCTAAAATCAACTTGGAAAAAGTGAATCTGCTCTCGGGCAGAATCTTCACTTGTGTTAAAGATAGAGCAATTCTATTTTTGTTAATTCTTACTAGCTTTTCTGGTAACGGTAACGAGTCTTTTTCTCGATGCCAACAAATCATCCCTTGGGTACCCAAGATCGATCTTGGGGGCAAGATCGATCTTGGGGGCAAGATCGATCTTGGGGGCAAGATCGATCTTGGGGGCAAGATCGATCTTGGGGGCAAGATCGATCTTGGGGGCAAGATCGATCTTGGGGGCAAGATCGATCTTGGGGCAAGATCGATCTTGGGGGCAAGATCGATCTTGGGGGTAAGATCGATCTTGGGGTAAGATCGATCTTGGGGTAAGATCGATCTTGGGGTAAGATCGATCTTGGGGAATCCCGGGGGCAATTTCTTAATAATCTAGCCCATTTTATTAAGAAATTGCCCTATTAAGAAGTAGAATAAGCCTAAGATCGATCCGGGCAAGAAGGCGCTGACGTTTTGTCGAGAGGCATTCGGGGCTAGAGAGCTTGCAGCAACCTTATGCCCGCCATGGCGTTCCATTTCTGCTATGTTATTCTAAGAGAAATCGAATTTTCGAAGTTTTCTGCTTTTTGGTGAAGAAGTGAAAGAAATCTCGAAAAAGATCTCTACTACACCAAATGGTGTAGAAGACGAAAAATCTTGAGCAAAGATGTCTACTACACCAAATGGTGTAGAAGACGAAAAATCTTGAGCAAAGATGTCTACTACACCAAATGGTGTAGAAGACGAAAAATCTTGAGCAAAGATGTCTACTACACCAAATGGTGTAGAAGACGAAAAATCTTGAGCAAAGATCTCTTCTTCACCAAATAAGATAAAGTTGGGGTAAGATCGATCTTGGGGGCAAGATCGATCTTGGGGGCAAGATCGATCTTGGGGGCAAGATCGATCTTGGGGGCAAGATCGATCTTGGGGGCAAGATCGATGTTGGGGGTAAGATCGATCTTGGGGGCAAGATCGATGTTGGGGGTAAGATCGATCTTGGGGGCAAGATCGATGTTGGGGGTAAGATCGATCCGGGCAAGAAGGCGCTGACGTTTTGTCGAGAGGTATTCGGGGCTAGAGAGCTTGCAGCAACCTTATGCCCGCCATGGCGTTCCCGATCATCGACGGTAAATTGGGGGAAAAATACGGTCGAAAATCGTGATGACGAATTTTGTATGTAATTTTGACTTTTTTACCAACAAAATTCGCCTGGCGAATTTTGTTGGTAATTTTCACTTTTTTACCAACAAAATTCGCCATGCAAAAAGTCATTTTTTTGGGCCCTAACAGCATTGGCAGGCATTTTTGGGCCCTAAGAGCATTGACGATTTTTGTATGAAAAAAAGTCAAAATTCCATACAAAAATGGCAAGCCCCCCCCCCTCACTCCCATTATCGTTTGCGGGTCGTAATGCCCAACTGCTCCGCAGTTGGGCCATTATTTCCCAAATTTTTCCAGGCCGTGGCGGCCACTTCTAGGGCCAAAAAAAGGCATTTTTTTTGGGATTTTTGTAGTTGTAAGATAGGGCGAGGTGGCGGCTGGGCTTAAAAAAAAGCATTTTTTTTATGATTTTATTAAAGCTATGTTTAAAGCTATGTTTTAGAAAAGGAAAGAATTGAATTGAATACGAATTGAATGTCGAATCGAGAGAGTCGATTTCTCTTCTTTAAGCGCAAACATTCTCTTTCTCAATCTCTATTCAAAATCGGCTCTTTTCCCTCATCGAAAATTGTTTGGTTATTGTCATTGTTCTGTGGTCAGGAAATGGAATCATAAAGGAAAGTTTGAGGATTTTAAGTTAGAGCTGTTTCAAGCTATGGTTTAAGCTATGTTTAAAGCTATGTTTTAAGCTATGTTTTAAGCTATTTTAAGCTATGTTTAAAGCTATGTTTAAAGCTGTTTAAAGCTATTTTTTAAGCTGTTTAAAGCTATGTTTAAAGCTATGTTTAAAGCTATGTTTTAAGCTGTTTAAAGCTGTTTGAAGCTGTTTGAAGCTATGTTTAAAGCTATGCTTTAAGCTGTTTTAAGCTATGCTTTAAGCTATGCTTTAAGCTGTTTTAAGCTATGCTTTAAGCTATGTTTAAAGCTGTTTAAAGCTATGTTTAAAGCTATGTTTTAAGCTGTTTTAAGCTATGTTTAAAGCTATGTTTTAAGCTGTTTAAAGCTATGTTTTAAGCTGTTTTAAGCTATGCTTTAAGCTATGTTTAAAGCTGTTTAAAGTTATGTCTAAAGCTATGTTTTAAGCTATGTTTAAAGCTATGTTTAAAGCTGTTTAAAGCTATGTTTTAAGCTATGTTTTAAGCTATGTTTAAGCTATCTTTTGTAGCCTTTCCCAATTGTTTTTATCTTTTTTTAAATAATTATGAATTTTTGGAGTTAATTTCAGAGAAAACTTGGCAAAAAGCTTAAGAAAAAGCTAGAAAATGATAAGCCGAAATGAATCAAAAATTGGATTAATAATTTCTGAGCTTTGGAGTTAATTTCAGAGAAAACTTGGCCAACCGAATGTATAACAACAGGAGTAATCTCGAGAATCAGAAGTCAATGAGTCAGGCTAAACCAGATCAGGGTTCAATTTTTGAATATTGATATTTGAAGTACTTTTTTTTGTACCCTTTTCACTCATTCACTCATTCACTCAACCACAAGGTCACTAACGCCAAAGAAACTCTCAAAACTGGGTTTACCCCCAACACAACAAGCAATAAAATGCGAAAGTGGATCATAGAGATTTGGAATTTCGTTTTGTTTTTAAGGAAAAATCAAAAATCAAATTAAATCAAATTAAAAATCAAATCAAATTAAAATTAAAACTGAAAATAATGCTCAACAAAGAAAATAAGTTTAGGCTAATACAGTCATGCACAAAAGTCTTGTAACATCCAGTTTAGCAAATTTCAAAGTGTAATAACTTTTTTTTGCAAAGAGGCCAATTCCCAAACAGTTTTTGGTTTTCAGTTGTTAAAAATTTCTATTTTTATATATATATAGATACTTTATTCAGGACCTGAGATAAAGTGCGCTGGATTTAAGATTAAAACACATGAACTCATAAACATAACACGAAAAGGGCCGATAAAAAGAAACACGGTATAATATATGTAAAATGTGTAAAATGACTTCTAACTGATCAACCCAATTTCAATGTCATTAGGCCTTGTGCATTCCAGATTGGACTAATCAAATGAAAACTAGCGGCCAAATTACAGTAGTTTTCTAAAATGCACCTATTCCAGAAAACTACTGTAACCGATACCGCCAGTTTCTAACTGATCAACCCAATTTCAATGCCATTAGGCCTTGTGCATTCCAGATTGGACTAATCGAATGAGAACTGGCGGCCAGATTACGGTAGTTGTCTAACACACCTATTCCAGAAAACTACTGTAACCGATCCGCCAGTTTCTAACTGATCAACCCAATTTCAATGCCATTAGGCCTTGTGCATTCCAGATTGGACTAATCGAATGAGAACTGGCGGCCAGATTACGGTAGTTGTCTAAAACACACCTATTCCAGAAAACTACTGTAACCGATACCGCCAGTTTCTAACTGATCAACCCAATTTCAATGCCATTAGGCCTTGTGCATTCCAGATTGGACTAATCAAATGAAAACTAGCGGCCAGATTACGTCGGAAGTTTAATGATTAGTTATGTCGGAAGTTTTGAGAAAGCTATTGTGGAAGATTCGGGAAAGTTATTTCGGAAGTTCTGGGGAAGTTATTTGGGAAGTTATTTGGAAGTTATTTGGGAGGTTTTGGGGAAGTTTTGAGGAAGTTATTTGGGAAGTTAAAAGTTTAAAGTGAAATTCTGTGAGTACTGTACAGTTCTTTAAAAATCAAACATTTAAGTTAATCAAAGAAAAGTTAAAAAACGGATTTCGAAAGAAAAATGGTTGTTCACAAAGAAGATATGATGAAATCGATCGATTTGATGATGCCTTATATACGCCTTATCTATAAACGCCGCCTTATATACGCCTCATATAAAGCGCTGCCTTATATCGATGATGACATCATTAAATCGATGATGACATCATTAAATCAATGAATGACTGAGAAAACACGGTTTAGAGAACGGGCTAGCGGGTGAGAAATGGATTTTTAAAGCAAGCTGGAACGCACTCTAGTCAAAGCTATGACCGAGAGCTCGTAGAATGACCTCAGCAGATAAAATGATCACTTTTAGAGAAATTCTTTGACCAGAGAATCTTTGATTTGTGCGTTAAGAGAAGGGAAATCAATTAGAATTTTGAGACAATTGCTATCAATTGTCAGCTTTTCTCTTTTTCTGCGTTTATGTCAGCTTTTTCAATCCAAAAAAAAACCTGTCCGTTAAATTTTCACTCAAAAGAAAAGAACAAAAGAAAAACAATAGTTTTAAAGAAAAAAAGAGGGTTTTTTCGGAAGTTTAAATCTTTATTATCAATCAGTTTTTTTTGATGTAGATTGTTTGATTTAGATTAAAGCTGAAAAGGTCACTGAAAAGTCCATTTAGTTACAAATGAACTATACCGTAAATACTATAATTGAACGTTGAATTTGAATGTCACCATCTAATAGAACGGCAGGGTTTATTGAAAAGAACTTTTTGCAATTGAAGATGAAGATGAAGCCACTTGAACTCGGAGGGGATTGATGTCGGTTTGGCTGAACGGATCGGCTTGGCTGAATAGATCCGAGAACGCTGAGCTGAAAAGAAACGAGTGGCATTTGAATGAATCATTTGAAAGGAGGCGAATCGATTTGCAGATCAATTCATTTGATCAATTAATTTGATCAATAGAACTGCCGCTTGAAGGAGTCGATCTCCATTTTTTGACTTCCTTCTCTTCTCCAAAGTGCTCTTTAGCCAAATGAACAGACATCTTCTTGAAAAGAGGAAAATCACTAAAACCCAAGTCAAGTGAGTAGAGCAAGAACTTCTCAGCCTAAAGCTTTAACCTTTTCTTGATCAAGTTTGCAATGTGAGCCCGTGCGTTATCATCTTGCATGATCTTTCCCATTTTTAACCGCTTTATTTTATTTCAGAAGCGACTCAATCGAATTGATGAACGTATTTGGATGCCTTGATAGTCACCTCTTCCTCTAGCAACTTCCAGTAAAGAACTCCTTCTCTGTCCCACCAAAAACAACATCAACATCTTCAGGCTTCAGCTCGAACTTTTGTTTTTCGCTTGGAGTGAATTCATCAAGATCAGTCGATCACCCTGACCTCGGCTGATCTTCAAGAGAGAACCTCGGCCAATCTTCGACATTTTGAAATCAATACCAATTGTAGATGTTTCCCATAGTCAATCCATGCCCGTAAATATCGTTAATCTTCTTTTCCTTTTCGTAAACAAAAGCCCTTATCAACTGGTCATGGGAGAGCCTAGAGAATTAGAGAAAGAAAGAAAAAAATAGATTGTAAAGACTGTACCAACTGTATATTTTGATTCAGGTAAATAGTGCCAGGGATTTCCAGGGATTACCAGGGATTACCAATCTGGCCCAGAGCTGACCAGATGGGCTTGGGACGAGATGGGCTTAGGACCAGATGGGCTTAGGACGAGATGGGCTTAGGGCCAGATTGGCCTGGGACGAGATGGGCTTAGGACCAGATTGGCCTGGGACAAGATGGGCTTAGGACCAGATGTGCTTAGGACGAGATGGGCTTGGGACCAGATTGGCCTGGGACAAGATGGGCTTAGGACCAGATTGGCCTGGGACAAGATGGGCTTAGGACCAGATTGGCCTGGGACAAGATGGGCTTAGGACCAGATGTGCTTAGGACCAGATGGGCTTAGGACCAGATGATCTGACTAATCCTAGAACCAGATCAAAAGCAAACTCCTAGCCTACTCCCTTTGCTGATACCAAAGTCTATGACCAGTCTAACGTCAAGTCAGGCTTTATTTCTAGCTCTCCTATAAGCTTTTCGTGGACCAGATGAAGCCAGTTTGTGAATCAGATTTAAACAATCCTTTAAACAATTTAAACAATCAAAAACAAACAAACAAACAAATAAACAAACAAACAAACAAACAAAACAATTCTTCCCATCACAGTCTATTAATTGTTTATTTTCGAATATAAAGCTTGAAATAGAAAGATTTTTGTTTAAAATCTCAATCCGGGAAAGAGATTTCCTCTTTTTGGACGGAAATGCCGAGTTTAGAGTCGGTAAGATCTCCATTCTCGGATTCAATCACATCATCGCCATTCCTCATGTCTTGGCCTTTCTAAAAAGCTTTAAACTTCAGAATTTTATAAATTGAAGTACACAAAAGCAATATTATGTCGATTTTTGAATTCTCTTTGTTTTTTTTCAACTCACCACTTTCTTTTTGATCTCAAAACGGTCACTTGCCTCCAAAATTGGCTTCCAATTCTTCCTTGAGTCCGTCTAAATGAAAAAAATTCAATTGTATTGTATTGTATTCTTGTTTTTAAATTTTAACCAAACATTTTCTTTGATCAGCCGTTTTTTATCGTTTCCCGTGGAAGAAGGATTCATTTCTGGGATATGGAGAAAGTGGTGTGGAGTTACTGGATAGCAAGACGACCGTTAATGCAATCAAATACAGTGGAGTTGAATGAAAGAGGTGAATGAATCCCTGAAGAAGAATAGGCCCTCCAAGTCAAAGAAATTTCTTTCAAACCCAATTTATTCATATTTTTTTGGCAAAACCATTTCAAAAAACAAGTAGATTTATAAAAAAATTTATTACAGCATCCAAAGAATTAATCAAAACATTCATTTCTTGTCCGAGAATCGTTCATGAGTCAATCGATTGTTTGTCTCGATCTCGCCACTCTTTTCACCTTTCCCAATGTGATCCTCAATCATGATGTCACGCCCCATCTAGATATTTACCTTTAGATAAAGACATGAATGAGTGAATGAGTGAAAAGAGGTAAATGCTCATCCATTTGTATTTCATATTTTATATTCTTGACAATTTATCGAAGTCTGTGATTTTTTTAAAGCCAAGTGTACCCAAATCACTAGACTGACTGAGCTATTTTTACTTAAAAGATGAAAAATGGATTCAAAGCTTGATAGTCATGGACTAAAGTCTTGGAAGTTCGAAAAAAAGCCATTTGTGTGCCTTATATACGTATTAACCGTCTTATATACGAATTGAAAAACGAATTGGTCGCTTTATATACGAATTGGTCGCCTTATATACGAATTGGTCGCTTTATATACGAATTGGTCGCTTTATATACGCATTGGTCGCTTTATATACGAATTGGTCGCCTTATATACGAATTGGTCGCCTTATATACGAATTAGCAGCCTTATGTTAGAATTGGTCGCCTTGTATACGAATTAGCCACCTTATATACGAATTAGTCCCCTTATATACGAATTGGTTGCCTTATATACGAATTGGTCGCCTTACATACGAATTAGCAGCCTTATGTTAGAATTGGTCGCCTTGTATACGAATTAGCCACCTTATATACGAATTGGTCCCCTTATATACGAATTGGCCCCCTTATATACGAATTGGTCGCCTTATATACGAATTGGCCGCTTTGTATTGCCACAGATGCCTATCGGCTGGCAGCCATTCAAAATCTTCGTGCCATTTTGTTACATTTTCAAGACTTTTGTCCATGACTAAGGGCTTGCCCAGATCAGGCTCCTGTCAAGCCAAAAAAGCTTAGTTTCTCAACACCGACTTTGGCTTGGTCTGGCTTCTAAGTTCAAAGAAATCCAGGAAAGTGTTAGTAGTAAAGCCAGGATTTCTGGACCGCACCCTGACTTTTTCTAGTTTTCTAAAGATCTTTAAAGATTAAAGGCTTCAAAAGCTTTTTGTCGTTGTTGTTGTTGTTTTGTTTTTCAAACTTACAATTTGTTGTCCATCACTTGGAATCGAGTCCATTGATCGACAACCACTGTGACTTCCCTGGTACTGCATGGAGAGGCTTTGGCGGTCTCCTTGCTGAAAGTCTCTTTAAAATGAAATTACTGTAGCTAGAGATTATAAGATCAGAATGTCCAGAAAAAAGTGATCATCGATTTGAGTCTTTTCACTCGTTGATTCTTCAAGGCTTTCCCTAAGGCGTCACACAACAAGATCAAGCGCCGCCTTATATACGCCTTATATAAAGCGCCGTCAAGCGCCTCAGGCGTCACATAACAAGATCAAGTTGATTTTTTGATGATTTCGTGAAGGCTGGGGAGCTCAAAATCCACGTTTATATAAAAAATACTTTTGATTTTCTCTATTTCTTCACAAATCTTTTGTACTTTTTCGTCCTATGAATTTATTTTGTTTTTTCGATGCATGAGCATACCCTATACACTAAAAAATCAAAAAAAATGCAACTTGATCTAGTTATGTGACGTCTGAGGCGCTTGGCGGCGCTTTACATAAAGCGTATATAAGGCAGCGCTTTATAGATAAGGCGTATATAAGGCGCTTTTGATGAGGCGTATATAAGGCGACCAATTCGTATATAAGGCGACCAATTCGTATATAAGGCGACCAATTCGTATATAAGGCGACCAATTCGTATATAAGGCGACCAATTCGTATATAAGGCGACCAATTCGTATATAAGGCGACCAATTCGTATATAAGGCGACCAATTCGTATATAAGGCGACCAATTCGTATATAAGGCGACCAATTCGTATATAAGGCGACCAATTCGTATATAAGGCGACCAATTCGTATATAAGGCGATCAATTCGTATATAAGGCGACCAATTCGTATATAAGGCGATCAATTCGTATATAAGGCGACCAATTCGTATATAAGGCGATCAATTCGTATATAAGGCGATCAATTCGTATATAAGGCGATCAATTCGTATATAAGACAGCGCTTTATATAAGGCGTATATAAGGCGGCGCTTCTAGATAAGGCGTATATAAGGCGCTACGTTACATAAGGCACATATAAGACGGCGCTTATAGATAAGGCCTATATAAGGCACTTTATATAAGGCCTATATAAGGCACTTTATATAAGGCGTATATAAGGCAGCGCTTTATAAAAGGCGTATATAAGGCGGCGTTTATAGATAGGGCGTATATAAGGCGACGCTTTATAAAAGGCGTATATAAAGCGGCCAATTCGTATATAAGACAGCGCTTTATAGATAAGGCCTAAATAAAGCGCTTTATATATTTGTGCTGAAATAGAGAAAATCAAAAGTATTTTTTATGTAAACGTGGATTTTGAGCTCCCCAGCCGACCCACTTATTCACGAAATCATCAAAAAAATCAACTTGATCTTGTTGTGTAATGCCTGGGGCGCCTGGCGCCTGGCGCTTTATTTAGGGCGTATATAAGGCGGCGCTTGATCTCGTTGTGTGACGCCTTAGGGAAAGCCTTGAAAAATCAAACGAGAAAAGTGTCAAGACTCAAATCGATGGCCACCTTTGTTTCTCGGGAAACCCTGCATAAAACCCTATATAAAATGGGATTTTTTATATCTTTAAAATTTTAAATTTCCAACATAATATAGCAAATTTCTCATGTAAATTTTCAAACTCGGCCAACCAAAGTCTTTTGTAAATCCGATTGACGTTGAGGCATTTCTAAAGTTGCTTTTTTTGTAGGTTTTGTTTAGTTGCTTTTGTATTGTTTTTCTAGATTTTGAAAAAAAAGTTATCAAAACTTTTAAAATATTGAAATGGCTTTATTTACAAAGTTAATCATATCTTTTTTTTTTAAAAAGCAATTATAAACGCGATAAGGCGTATATAAGGCGCTTTATACAAAGAGATTCTCGAGAAAGCTGTGGTGCCGTGGAAGAGGAGTCATCCCAATTTGGCCCTTCAATTTGGCCCAAGATTGGGCGCCGGCCCACAGAGCCAAAACAACAATTCGCTTTCTCGAAACCAAAATTGGCTCTTTTTTGGCGAAGGATCGGAGACGAAGGAATGGCCTGCAAACAGCCCGGATCTCAATCCGTTGGACTTTTCGGTCTGGGGTTTTATGGAAGAACAATTGAGAAATAGGAAAATCAACAATTTGAATGATTTACGTCGAGAATTGATCAAAATCTGGAACGACTTAGATGCAAATTATCTCCGCTGCACCGTCGATTCTGTAAAGAAGCGAGTTGAAGCTTGTATCAAGGTTCAATGGAAGCGAGTTGAAGCTTGTATCAAGGTTCAATGGAAGCGAGTTGAAGCTTGTATCAAGGTTCAATGGAAGCGAGTTGAAGCTTGTATCAAGGTTCAATGGAAGCGAATTGAAGCTTGTATCAAGGTTCAATGGAAGCGAATTGAAGTCTGTATCAAAGCTTGAATGGAAGCGAATTGAAGCTTCTATCAAGGTTCAATGGAAGCGAATTGAAGCTTGTATCAAGGTTCAATGGAAGCGAATTGAAGCTTGTATCAAGGTTCAATGGAAGCGAATTGAAGTCTGTATCAAAGCTTGAATGGAAGCGAATTGAAGCTTCTATCAAGGTTCAATGGAAGCGAATTGAAGCTTGTATCAAGGTTCAATGGAAGCGAATTGAAGTCTGTATCAAAGCTTGAATGGAAGGGAATGGAAGCTTCTATCAAGGTTCAATGGAAGCGAATTGAAGCGAAATGGAGGCCACTTCCAAAATTTCTTGTAATTATTAAATGCTTTTGTTACAACTATTATATAAATAAATATTTTTACATGTTCTTTGAAAGAAAATTAAATTATGGCGTTTTCTTTGGCGCACGTAATTTTCAGCCACCCTGTATAAGGCGTATATAAGGCAGCGCTTTATATAAGGCGTATATAAGACCGCGTTTATAGATAAGGCGTATATAAGGCGCTTTATATAAGGCGTATATAAGGCGGCGCTTTATATAAGGCCTAAAGATGGTTATGGCTTTAGTTATAAAGTTGTTTAAAGATCTTTTTTTTTAAAAAAGCAATTAATAAATAAAATCATTTAAAATAGCTAATAAATACGATGTTTTTCGCTTTATTTTTAAGCAAATAAATCAAATTGAGAAGATTTTCTGAGGAAAATTTTCAAAGTGTTTGTTTTTACGTTGTTTTTCGGTCCCTTTCAGCACTTGTCCTTCTTGTTTTGACCGCGAAAAAATAATCGTAGCACTTTTAAGGCAAATACACTTTAAACTTTCATAAGAACATCATAAGAACTATAGAAAGTTTTCTAAATAACAAAATTTCATTGAAAATTTGTTTTTTTTTAGACTAAAAAGTGACGAAACAGCGATTTTTTTTAAAAAAAATTCAGTTATTTACATAAAAAGTTTAATTTTGGCAAAGAAATCTTTATAAAAAAACAATTTAAATTTAATTTTTGCCTTAATCATAAGAACAAATGTCTTCTTTTCGCATTGTGAAAATTCCCTTTCGAATCCTGGGCCAGGCTTTACCTAGCTTTACCTCCTCAAGCTTTACCTCCTCAAGAGCTTAAAGAATCTGAGCTTAAGTCTACAGCTGAGAAATACCGGAAGGTTGGTGACTCAAAAAGTGATCAGCTTTCATTTTAGGTTTTTGAAAGGGAACCTTTTTTGAAAGAGACCAATGCCTATTCATTAACAAAAACTTCTTTAAAGGCTCGTCAATAAAAAAGTGATCAAATTACTTTGAAGAAAATACGGTTCCAATACGGTTTCAAAATGGCTCTTTTTAGATCCAATGCGGTTCCAATACGGCTCTTTTTAGATCCATTACGGTTCCAATACGCTTCCAATAGGGTTCCAACACGGATCTTTTTGGATCCAATACGGTTCCAATACGGTTCTTTTTAGATCCAATACGATTCCAATACGGTTCCAATACGGTTCCAATACGGTTCTTTTTAGATCCATTACGGCTCCAATTCGGTTCTTTTTAGACCCAATACGGTTCCAATGCGGTTTCAATACGGTTCTTTTTTTGATCTAATACGGTTCCAATACGATTCCAATACGGTTCTTTTTTTGATCCAATACGGTTCCAATACGGTTCCAATACGGTTCTTTTTTTGATCTAATACGGTTCCAATACGGTTCCAATACGGTTTCAATACGGATCTTTTTGGATCCAATACGGTTCCAATACGGTTCTTTTTGGATCCAATACGGTTTCAATACGCTTCCAACACGGCTCTTTTTAGATCCATTGCGGCTCCAATTCGGTTCTTTTTAGACACAATACGGTTCCAATACGGTTTCAATACGGTTCTTTTTTTGATCTAATACGGTTCCAATACGGTTCCAATACGGTTCCAATACGGATCTTTTTGGATCCAATACGGTTCTTTTTAGATCCAATACGGTTTCCAATACGGTTCCAATACGGCTCTTTTTAGATCCAATGCTGTTCCAATACGGTTTATTTAGAAATCTCTCAGAAAGAAATCTCTTAGAAAAAATGAGGAAATCTCTCATTTATTTCCTTGAAATCTACTCTGTTTTTTTTTATCAAAACTTTAAAATATAGTTTATCATAAGGTTTTGAAAGAATTGATGACTTGATTTTTGAGGAATTACCATGCAAATCTTTTTCGAGAACTTTCCGAGAATTTTCTTTCCAATCTAATAACTAAAAAGTGAGCAAAGACGTCGATTTTTCTCGTTTTTTCAAAGAAATATTTATGCCGAAGAAAGAATATTCAGTTATTTACATAAAAAAATGAATTTTACAAAGAAATCTTTATAAAAAACAGGCGATTATTGAGAGAAAATGGTGAATTTAGATGAATTTGGATGAATTTAGATTGAATTTAGATTGAATTTGCATGAATTTCGATGAATTTCGATGAATTTAGATGAATTTAGATTGAATTTAGATTGAATTTGCATGAATTTGGATGAATTTAGATGAATTTGGATGAATTTAGATGAATTTAGATGAATTTGGATGAATTTAAATGAATTTAAATGAATTTACATAAATTAACATTGAATTTACATGAATTTACATTTAATTTTTGCCTCAATCATAAGAACAAATGTCCTCTTTTCGCACACATTCACCGGTTTTCGCATTGTGAAAATTCCCTTTCGAATCCTGGGCCACTTCGTCGCCAGTCGATTTCTCGCGACCGATCTAGAAATGGATTAAGATGAAATGCTTAGTGCGAGTGTGATTTATTGCATTTTAAAATCCCTTTCAGACTCCAGGCTGGCTCAGGCTCAGCTCAGAACTAATTTAGGCGAAGCTAGGGTCCAGTCACCATTGAAGGAAAGGTCAATCCGCCTAGTCGGTCTGCTAAAAAAGGCGGCGCTTTATACAAGGTGTATATAAGGCGACCAATTCGTATATAAGGCGTAACTTTATATACGGCGTATATAAGGCAGTCATTTCGTATATAAGGCGGTCAATTCATATATAAGGCGGCCAATTAGTGCATAAGGCGGCCAATTCGTATATAAGACGGCGCTTTAGACAATGCGGTACATAAGCGAGCGCTTTATAGAGGCCGCATATAAGACGGTCAAAAAACGCATTACCCGTGAGCAACACACTGTATTATCGTATTCTATCACATATTCTATTCAATGACTCACAATCGGTTGCTCATCTCTATCAGTGATCAACCATCCATGAACTGCGCCCGGCTCCACCGCTTGCACCTCATCTTTCGTGCATTCGACTTTATTCTGAACCACCTCGACAGTTAGAATCGCTTTGAGATTGTAAATGAGAGTTACAAGGTCTAGTCTCACTTTACAATTACCAGAAAACCGGATCAGTTACCGAATTTTTAATCGATCAGCTCTGAATCAGCTGATCGTCAGCTGATTGAGAGCTGATCGTCAGCTGATTGAGAGCTGTCATCAGCTGATTGAGAGCTGTCGTCAGCTGATTGAGAGCTGTCATCAAGTCGTCAAGTCGGGAAACTGAGCCAGGTTTTCGCGTAAGAATTCCGTGTATTCCAGAAAGGTTTTTTTTTTACAATCTAGAGCACAAAGGAAAATTCTAAACCGAAAATTTGTTCACCTGATCGGATTTTTGCGGTTCAGTTCCCTCCGGGCACTCCTTTTTGCTCAAAACAGTCGGCATTTTCTCTAGAAAACAATAGATTTCGTTAAAAATCTCAAAATTCAAAAGAAAGCTTCAATTTTGAAAAGGAAATTCTGAAAAACAATTGAAATTTGAAATTTTTTTGCTTAAAATGCACTTTTGTTTACGATTTTTTCCCAAAAAAACACTTTTTTTTCACTTTTTTCTCTTTTTTCTCTATTTTCTCTGTGCAAATTTTGCGAAATATATAAGGAAAACAGAAATTTAAACTGTTATTTTCGTATTTAATTTGAAAAACTAACAATTAAAGTTGATTTTTATATATTTAAAGCAGTTTTAGACGATATTTTGAAAAAATTTTTTATTTATTTAATTTCCCGATTTTTTCAATTCCATTAGCTTCTGTGACATCCAGATCGCAGATTTTATTTAATTATATTTCGAATTTCTTCAGAAAAATGGCCGATCGCTTTGATCCAAGTCTGAATTGTGACTTTGACGAGAAAAAACAGGTTTGCTTTGTGATTTGCTGATTTGTACTTTGTGCTCACTCGTAAACGAACCCTTCCTGGAGTACTTGGACGGTCTAAATGTAGTTAAATGTAGTTATGATCGATTTAATTGATGTTTTAAGGTACTTCAAGGCAAAGCGGAACCACGTGATGCTGCTCGAGTTGCTAACAAAGATGATTTAAATTTGCCACATGTTGTACGTCTTTAAATCGTCTTTTTTTCTTTTTCTACCGTAATCTTATGTTTAAGACGTAGTTTAGACGATTTTATCTTAATTTTATCTTAAATTACTATCTTAAAATGTAAATTCAATTGTTCAATGCTGCCAATACGTATATAAGACGACCAATTCGTATATAAGACGGCCAACTCATATATGAGACGGTCGATTCGTATATAAGACGACCAGATCGTATATAAGGCGGCCAATTCGTATATAAGGTGGTCAATTTGTCTATAAGACGGCCAATTCATATATAAGACGACCAATTCGTATATAAGACGGTCAATACGTATATAAGGCGATCAATTTGTCTATAAGACGGCCAACTCATATATAAGACGGTCAATTCGTATATAAGACGACCAATTCGTATATAAGACGACCAATTCATATATAAGACGGTCAATTCGTATCTTTTTGCAGGTTGGCAATGATGTGAACCCGCCAGCGGCTGATGAAATGGAGTATGAAGGCGGAGCGACAACGAAAGGACCGCACTTTAAAGGATTGTCCGATAAAAATGTTCGTATCAGTGATTGATGAAAGATTTCAGTCAAAATTTGATTATTTTAATGATTTTGATGTAACTTTGGTGTATTGTAACCTCTGATTTTTCGAAAAAATACAATGAACAGTGAAATTTGTACTTCGAAATTTATACAGTGCAAGAAAAAAAGCACATTTACATTCAACAAACCGCTCTTAATGCAAATTTACAAATAGAAGAGAAATTTGCATTGAGAACAATCTATGCAAGGCATGATTTCTATCTGATCCGCCCGATTTTAATGTCATTAAGCCTTGTGCATTCCAGATTGGACTGATCGAATGAGAACTGGCGGCCAGATTACGGTAGTTGTCTAAAACACACCTATTCCAGAAAACTACTGTAACCGATACCGCCAGTTTCTAACTGATCAACCCAATTTCAATGCCATTAGGCCTTGTGCATTCCAGATTGGACTAATCAAATGAAAACTAGCGGCCAGATTACAGTAGTTTTCTAAAATGCACCTATTCCAGAACAACTACCGTAATCTACACCGCCAGTTTCTATCCGATTGCCTTAATTTCAATGTCATTAAGCCTTGTGCATTCCAGATTGGCCTAATCGAATGAAAACTGGCTGCTTTAGCCTTTTAGAAAACCGAGAAAACTTTAGTTGAGTCATAAAACGAAGCTAGAGCAAGAAAAGCTCATTGCTACAAAGTGACTCATTGTTTTTCTGTGATTGACCAAATCACAGCCGGATCTTTAGCCCAATTTCTTTCTCTTTGTTGTCCATTTTACACTAATTCTCATCTCATTTCAAAAAAGAGGCAATGGATCACGAGTTGAAACAGAAAAAAACACGGAAAAAATCCTTGTTGAGTTGGGAATTGATTTTAAAGCTTTTACAGATGAGAACTTAATCTATTTCTTGATCAAATATGTTATTCTACTTATTCTTCGTCTTTTTATTTAGTTATACTTTTGGTGAGTTTTTAGTATTAGGTCCAACCATAGAAGATGAAGGAAAGGCCAAGCCAAGGCCAAAACAAGGCCAAAACAAGGCCAAGAAGCCAAGGCCAAGAAGCCAAGGCCAAGAAGCCAAGGCCAAGAAGCCAAGGCCAAGAAGCCAAGGCCAAGAAGCCAAGGCCAAGAAGCCAAGGCCAAGAAGCCAAGGCCAAGAAGCCAAGGCCAAGAAGCCAAGGCCAAGAGCCAAGGCCAAGGCCAAGGCCAAGCCAAGGCCAAGGCCAGGCCGGCCAGGCCAAGGCCAGGCCAAGATACTGATAGATTTGTTTAGTCGCTGACTTGGGCCTTAACTGTCTCAAAAATCTCCCAATTCCTTGGTTCTAGGTGCTCCGGTGGCCTCTGAAAATAGTTTGAGTCAAACTGTCACTCTGGGCATTACAACGAAGTCAAGACTGAAACGAGAATGGAATGGGAATGATTCGATCGTATGTGAATCGTACTTTAAACTCAAAACCCAACTTTTCTAGTTCACTGAAAGCTCTAAAACTCAAAACTTTAGAAATACCTTCACCAATTCGGATATTTACCTCCAGCGAATTTGATGACAGCCGGCTATGGAGCTCCAGAAATGGACACGGCTCAAGAAAAGCTTCGTGAAGCTATTCGGTTTGAGCTTTGAATCTTTTAGCTGATTTTAGCTGAATTGTAGCTGTTTTTAGAAGATTTCAAAGAATCGCTGACATTCCTGAAACTGGTGTCATTGATGAGGCGACAAAGGAGAAAATGGCGAAACCGAGATGCGGTGTGCCCGACGTGGCGGCGCTCTCATACGGAAGTTGGTAGAAAAATCAATTTTACAAGACTCAAGCTCAAATTTGGGGGTTTTAGTAGTTTTAGTAGGCTTAAAAGCTTTGCCAAATGAATTATTACAATTTATGATGTAAACTAGGCTAGGCTTTCAAGTCCTAAGTTTCTTAGAAGTACCCTGACTTCAGAAGTCCTTCAGGAGCCCTTCAAGAGTCCTTCAGGAGTCTTTCAGCAATCCTTCAAGAGTCCTTCAAGAGTCCTTCAGGAGTACTTCAGGAGTCTTTCAGTAGTCCTTCAGAAGTCCTTCAAGGGTCCTTCAAGAGTCCTTCAGAAGCCCTTCAAGAGTCCTTCAGCAGTCCTTCAGTAGTCCTTCAGAAGTCCTTCAGAAGTCCTTCGAGGGTCCTTCAAGAGTCCTTCAGAAGTCCTTCAGAAGCCCTTCAAGAGTCCTTCAGCAGTCCTTCAGCAATCCTTAAGGAGTCCTTCAGTAGTCCTTCAGCAGTCCTTCAGCAATCCTTCAGGAGTCCTTCAGGAGTCCTTCAAGAGTTCTTCAAGAGTCCTTCAGGAGTACTTCAGGAGTCCTTCAGTAGTCCTTCAGAAGTCCTTCAAGGGTCCTTCAAGAGTCCTTCAGAAGTCCTTCAGAAGTCCTTCAGGAGTACTTCAGCAATCCTTCAGTAGTCCTTCAGAAGTCCTTCAAGGGTCCTTCAAGAGTCCTTCAAGAGTCCTTCAAGAGTCCTTCAAGAGTCCTTCAGTCGTACTTCAGAGACTTTTTATAGCTTAAATCTAACAAAACTAAACCCAAGACCATCTCCAGTTTCAGTTGACCAAATCTAGACTGTTCAAGGGAAAATGACAAGTGTTTACTTGTCACTTTCCCTTGAACAGTCTAGAGTTTATTAGCCTTAGTTAAATATAAATTTAGTATAGATTGAGTCATTTTCTCAAAGCTGAGATTATTTAAATGTTCTCAGAATATCTAGAGCTGAATATCTCGAAAAGCATATTCAATTTTCAAATTCAGAAGCTTCAATAAAATGGCATAAACGTGAGTTGACGTGGTCGATCGACGATTATTCGCCAGATCTCTCAAAAGAAATAATTCGGTAAAATCTACAACAAAAACAAACCTTTAAAATCCTTTTGATTCAAAAATTTTAACATTTTAACATTTATTAATAGAGAATTTATAAAATTCATTTTTTTTCTAGAAAAGCTACAAAAGAAGCATTCAATTTCTGGTCACAAGTGGCGCCATTGGATTTTCGAGAAGTGATTACTGATGCGGATATTAAGGTAAGATTAGAAATTGACATAAATCACATAAAAATGAAGAATATGCAGATGTTTGTTTCAAAAAAGAAATTCGATTCATTTCCTGGCAATCACGCAAATTGCGTAAACGATAATGTAGAGAAAGAAAGCGGATGGGAAAACGATTCCTAGAATTGCTTTTGAATGGAAATTTTACTCAAAATTCAACGATTTCTTGTTAATTTGATGAATGATGTTAATGATTTTGATTTGATCAAATTCATTAATCTGATCAAATTGATGATGAAATTTTGATTTGATGAAATTCATTTGATGAAATTCAAGCTATTTATATTTATAAAATTGACTCTTTCCCTGAATCGTGGTCTTTTCAAAGTTTGTTGCTCTTTTAAAGGTTTGATGGTCTTTTAAAGGTTCCATGGTCTTTTAAAAGCTTCGTGATCTTTTAAAAGTTCCATGGTCTTTTAAAGGCTTGATAGTCTTTTAAAAGTTCCATGGTCTTTTAAAAGTTTAATGGTCTTTTAAAGGTTTGATGGTCTTTTCAAAGTTTGATGGTCTTTTCAAAGTTTGATAGTCTCTTAAAAGTTTGATGGTCTTTTCAAAGTTCCATGGTCTTTTAAAGGTTTGATGGTCTTTTAAAAGTTTGATGGTCTCTTAAAAGTTTGATGGTCTCTTAAAAGTTTGATGGTCTCTTAAAAGTTTGATGGTCTCTTAAAAGTTTGATGGTCTCTTAAAAGTTTGATGGTCTCTTAAAAGTTTGATGGTCTCTTAAAAGTTTGATGGTCTCTTAAAAGTTTGATGGTCTCTTAAAAGTTCCACGGTCTTTTAAAAGTTTGATGGTCTTTTAAAGGTTTGATGGTCTTTTCAAAGTTCCATGGTCTTTTAAAGGTTCGATAGTCTCTTAAAAGTTTGATAGTCTCTTAAAAGTTTGATGGTCTTTTAAAAGTTCCATGGTCTTTTAAAGGTTTTGTAGTCTTTTAAAAGTTCTATGGTCTTTTAAAGGTTTGATGGTCTCTTAAAAGTTCCATGGTCTTTTAAAAGTTTGATAGTCTCTTAAAAGTTCCATGGTCTTTTAAAAGTTCCGTGGTCTTTTAAAGGTTTTGTAGTCCTTTAAAAGTTCCATGGTCTTTTAAAAGTATCGTGATCTTTTGCAATTTTTCGTTTTTTTACCAAAAAGCCTTTTGAAACTGTTTTAAAACTTTTGAAACTTTTATTAAGTTCCAAATGCACGGAAGCAGAAGCATGTGATGATTTGTGCTTTGCTGAGCTGAGAGCCAGCTATCCGTCGATTGGCGAACAGGCGTCGAGCCACCAACCGCCGTCATCACCAAGGAACTACCGGCAATAATGGAAACACTAATGACGAGATGGACGAGCCGATAACGATCTCGTTCTACCTCTATAGGCTTGAATTGAACAGGCTTAAAAGGAAGATCAAACATCAGGCAATTAAAAGATGCGAGACTTGTAACTCGATGGCTGGAAACACGACAAACATCCACTCACAAAGAGAAAGCCTCTCGTTTGTGCCGTGGCCATTTCTGGAGGCCGACGCTAGGCGACATAAGACAGAATTTCTCGTTGTCTCAACAGGATATCGTCAAGTTGGCAAGGAAGTCTGAGTGGTTGTATGTGAAGGTCAGCTTGCCGTTGTATGTGAAGGCCAGCCGTCAAGTTGGCAAGGAAATCTGTCTTGGCTGTATGTGAAAGTCAGCTTGACCAACATTTGCGCGTCCGAGGAAAGGCAAAGCGTGCAAAGCCTTGCTGGGATGTTGTTCTTACGATTGTTCTTTAAATTCTGATTAAATGGGCAAGACCACGAAACTACTGAAGGACTCCTGAAGGACTCCTGAAGTCCTTCAGTACTCCGAAACTTTTAAAAGACTATGGAACTTTTAAAAGACCACGATTCAAGGAAAGAACCATCAAATTTATAAAACTAGCTCTGGAATGGGCTAGATTCTAGTTCAAAAGGTTTAGAAAGTCTGATTAAACCATTTCTTGACCTACTTGAACCAGATTTAAGCTAATCAAAGCTCTAGATGAAGCTAGACTGCTTACAATTAGTCTACTAGTTTACTGGATTACTGTAGAATAGCAATAGTTGGAAAATGGAGATGGAAAATGCAATTTCTGGAGACTTACTTGAGAAAAAATCGATAGCATCAGCTGGATCATTTTTCCATTTTTGACGAAGATCAAAATGACGATTTGACTCGACTTGGCTTGGAACCAAAGCCTCATACTCATTCTTTTGAGTAATCTAGAGTTATACAGCTTATTTATAAAGCTTAGATAGTTCTAAGGTAGCTTTAAGACAGCTTTAAGATAGCTATAAGCTCGCTTAAAAATCTTACGATATTGTACTTCATTTGAAAAGTCGATTTGAAAGCTGTTTTAGCTTTTGTGAGACTTTAACCTTCAAAATTTACCTCATTTCCCCGATTTCCTTGTTCACAGCATTCTAAATTGTTTGATTTGATTTGATTTTAGATTTGATTAAGGGTTTTTTTCATTACTTGTTTGCTCAAAAAACGCCACAGCAGCCACTTCAACGAGAGCCATGAAAACGAAGAGGAAACAAACACCAATCCAGCAATCAATTGCTGAATTTAATCAATACTCAACTTTGTCTGGGCTTTAAAACAGGATTATTGTAATCTATTGTACTTGTAAAGTCAGTTAAAATCTCTTAAGCTCGTCCAGGAGCTCGTCTAGGAGCCTCAAGCTCGTCCAGGAGCTCATCTAGGAGCCTCAAGCTCGTCCAGGAGCTCGTCTAGGAGCCTCAAGCTCGTCCAGGAGCTCGTCTAGGAGCCTCAAGCTCGTCCAGGAGCTCATCTAGGAGCCTCAAGCTCGTCCAGGAGCTCGTCTAGGAGCCTCAAGCTCGTCCAGGAGCTCATCTAGGAGCCTCAAGCTCGTCCAGGAGCTCATCTAGGAGCCTCAAGCTCGTCTCAGAGCCTCAAGCTCGTCTAGGAGCCTCAAGCTCGTCCAGGAGCTCGTCTAGGAGCCTCAAGCTCGTCCAGGAGCTCATCTAGGAGCCTCAAGCTCGTCCAGGAGCTCGTCTAGGAGCCTCAAGCTCGTCCAGGAGCTCATCTAGGAGCCTCAAGCTCGTCCAGGAGCTCGTCTAGGAGCCTCAAGCTCGTCCAGGAGCTCATCTAGGAGCCTCAAGCTCGCCCAGGAGCTCATCTAGGAGCCTCCTCTAGGAGCCTCAAGCTCATCTAGGAGCCTCAAGCTCGTCTCAGAGCCTCAAGCTCGTCTAGGAGCCTCAAGCTCGTCCAGGAGCTCATCTAGGAGCCTCAAGCTCGTCTCAGAGCCTCAAGCTCGTCTAGGAGCCTCAAGCTCGTCCAGGAGCTCATCTAGGAGCCTCAAGCTCGTCTCAGAGCCTCAAGCTCGTCTAGGAGCCTCAAGCTCGTCCAGGAGCTCATCTAGGAGCCTCAAGCTCGTCTCAGAGCCTCAAGCTCGTCTAGGAGCCTCAAGCTCGTCCAGGAGCTCATCTAGGAGCCTCAAGCTCGTCCAGGAGCTCGTCTAGGAGCCTCAAGCTCGTCCAGGAGCTCGTCTAGGAGCCTCAAGCTCGTCCAGGAGCTCATCTAGGAGCCTCAAGCTCGTCCAGGAGCTCGTCTAGGGAGCCTCAAGCTCGTCCAGGAGCTCATCTAGGAGCCTCAAGCTCGTCCAGGAGCTCATCTAGGAGCCTCAAGCTCGTCTCAGAGCCTCAAGCTCGTCTAGGAGCCTCAAGCTCGTCCAGGAGCTCGTCTAGGAGCCTCAAGCTCGTCCAGGAGCTCATCTAGGAGCCTCAAGCTCGTCCAGGAGCTCGTCTAGGAGCCTCAAGCTCGTCCAGGAGCTCATCTAGGAGCCTCAAGCTCGTCTCAGAGCCTCAAGCTCGTCTAGGAGCCTCAAGCTCGTCCAGGAGCTCATCTAGGAGCCTCAAGCTCGTCTCAGAGCCTCAAGCTCGTCTAGGAGCCCTCAAGCTCGTCCAGGAGCTCATCTAGGAGCCTCAAGCTCGTCTCAGAGCCTCAAGCTCGTCTAGGAGCCTCAAGCTCGTCCAGGAGCTCATCTAGGAGCCTCAAGCTCGTCTCAGAGCCTCAAGCTCGTCTAGGAGCCTCAAGCTCGTCCAGGAGCTCATCTAGGAGCCTCAAGCTCGTCTCAGAGCCTCAAGCTCGTCTAGGAGCCTCAAGCTCGTCCAGGAGCTCGTCTAGGAGCCTCAAGCTCGTCCAGGAGCTCATCTAGGAGCCTCAAGCTCGCCCAGGAGCTCATCTAGGAGCCTCCTCTAGGAGCCTCAAGCTCATCTAGGAGCCTCAAGCTCGTCTCAGAGCCTCAAGCTCGTCTAGGAGCCTCAAGCTCGTAAAAACTTTCTTCTAAACTCACATTTGTTGTAAGCTGTAGCTGGCGCTCTCTGATTCTCAAATGAGGACTAAAAGCCTTTAATTTAGAAGATTTTTAGAAACTTTATACCAAAAGAATCATTGAAACAAGAACAAGCATCACGATTGTCGTTTTAGCGCTGAGAAAACGTCTAAAATATGTTTGGGACTAAGGCTGACATCCGAACTAATGCCGGATCTAGTGATACATTGGTTAGAATAGCTAGATCAGGACTATCCAGATAACCAGATCGATCTAATAATATGAACCTGAGATCCAGGATCTTGTACGCTACCAAAATACTCACTTGTTGAAGAAGAAAGCAGCCCAGGAGCAAATGACGAGCATAGTTGATGGGATGTAGAGTTGCAAGAGCTCGGAGCTGAAAATGAGACTGATTTTGAATGAAGAATGGTTGATAATGATTCTGGAATTGTAGCTTTTGATTAAGAATTGTTAGAACCCAAAGTTTTGGCGTTGGCTTGCCTTGCCTTGGTTTTCCTTGGCTTCCCTTAGCTTCCCTTGGTTTCCCATGACTTCCTTTGACTTCCCTTGACTTCCCTTGACTTCCTTTGAGTTCCCTTGACTTCCCTTGACTTACCTTGGCTTCCCTAGACTTCCCTTGACTTCCGATGACTTCCCTTGGCTTTCCTTGGCTTCCCTTGACTTCCCTTTACTTCCCTTGACTTCCCTTTACTTCCCTTGGTTTCCTTTGACTTCCCTTAGCTTCCCTTGGCTTCCCTAGACTTCCCTAGACTTTCCTTTACTTCCCTTGACTTCCCTTGACTTCCTATGACTTCCCTGGCTTCCCTTGGCTTCCCTAGACTTCCCTAGACTTTCCTTTACTTCCCTTGACTTCCCTTGACTTCCCTTGACTTCCTATGACTTCCCTGGCTTCCCTTGGCTTCCCTAGACTTCCCTAGACTTTCCTTTACTTCCCTTGACTTCCCTTGACTTCCTATGACTTCCCTGGCTTCCCTTGGCTTTCCTTTACTTCCCTTGGCTTCCCTTTACTTCCCTTGGCTTCCCTTTACTTCCCTTGACTTCCCTTGGCTCTAATTTTTGACCTTTTTAAATCAATTCTGCCAGTTTTCGAGAAAATCCCAGATTTTTACTAGTTTTGCAATTTAAACATCAGCTTTTCTTTACCACGAGATTCTCTTCAACGGGATTTTCACTCGTAGACAACTGTAGGTTCCACTATTCGTCGAACTTCTGCAATTCTCCGTTTCCACCGGTTCCAACAAGAAGTTCGGGATATTTTCCTGAACTTTCTCATTTTTTTTTTAATCAAGTACAGGGTTGGTTTAATCACTCTCACCGTGAGCCCAGCTTTGATTTGAACGGGATGATCCTTTTTCCATTTGTAGACTAAAGTTTCGAGTTAGATTTAAGTGCTTAATGTAGTGTTAAATGGCGGAAAGTTGCCGTTTTTTACGGTAGCATTTTGAAAACCGTTTATTTAAGAGTAGTTTAAACTGACTGATGTCCTTTTCAGTGAAAGAGTAGGAAGCGAAATCGAGGTGACAAACTTGTCGATCGAATGGATATCTCTAAAGATTTTGTTAGTGATTTGAAAGGGAAATTTGCTAAAAGTTTGTTTTTTTTCGAAAAGTAAGCCAAATTAGGCCAAAAAAGGAGAATAAATGAAAATTTGACCGTTAAAATCATCGGACACGAAAGCGTCAATCCAATTCGTTCACTGTAAAGCACGCGACCATCTAGAAGTTGATTTTTAAAAGAAAAGACAATAATTACAGTAATACGGATGTTTACAGACGTTTACAGACGTTTATAGACGTTCACAGACGTTTACAGACGTTTACAGACGTTCATAGACGTCTGTAAACGTCTGTAGATGTCTGTAGATGTCTACAGACGTTCACAGACGTTGCCAGACGTTGCCAGACGTTCATAGACGTTCACAGACGTTCACAGACGTTCACAGACGTTCACAGACGTTCACAGACGTTTACAGACGTTTACAGACGTTCATAGACGTACACAGGCATCTACAGACGTTTACAGACGTTCATAGACGTACACAGGCATCTACAGACGTTTACAGACGTTCATAGACGTACACAGAGACGTTCACAGACGTTCATAGACGTTCATAGACGTACACAGGCATCTACAGACGTTTACAGACGTTCATAGACGTACACAGAGACGTTCACAGACGTTCATAGACGTTCATAGACGTACACAGGCATCTACAGACGTTTACAGACGTTCATAGACGTACACAGGCATCTACAGACGTTTACAGACGTTCATAGACGTACACAGAGACGTTCACAGACGTTCATAGACGTTCATAGACGTTCATGGACGTTCACAGACGTTTACAGACGTTTACAGACGTTTACAGACGTTCATAGACGTTCATAGACGTTCATGGACGTTCACAGACGTTTACAGACGTTTACAGACGTTTACAGACGTTCATAGACGTTCATAGACGTTCATGGACGTTCACAGACGTTTACAGACGTCCACAGACGTCCACAGACGTCCACAGACAGTAATGACAGTTTAAGGCTTGTAGATCGAAAACATCTTAACAAATCAAAAGACTTCACCTGGATCCACTCGAATTAAAACGTTCGGCACTTGAACATTGTGCCGACTCTCGTCTAACGAGTTCTAAAATAAAATTTGATCAAATTGGAAGTCACAAAGTCTGTTTAGAAGTCAATAAACCCAAAAAAAGCAAATCTAAAAAATATGCGCAGAAATCGGGAAGATTTAGCTAAATCAGCTTGTCAATGTTTCAAAATCTTCAAATCTTTCTGTTTTCTATTCCTCTTCTTCCTCTTCCTCTTCTTCGTCGTCTTCTTCTTTCTCTTCCTCTTCTTCTTCTTCTTCTGCTTCTTCTTCCTCTTCCTCATCTGCTTCTTCTTCCTATTCTTCGTCTTCTTTCTTTTCTTCCTCCTCTTCTTCCTCTTCTTCGTCTTCTTTCTCTTCCTCTTCCTCTTCTTTCTCCTCTTCTTCCTCGCCTTCGTCTTCTTCCTTTTCTTCTTCGTCGTCTTCGTCTTCTTCTTCCTCTTCTGCTTCTTCCTCCTCCTCCTCTTCTTCTTCCTCTTCCTCTTCTTCTTCTTCATCTTCCTCCTCCTCTTCTGCTTCTTCCTCCTCCTCCTCTTCTTCTTCCTCTTCCTCTTCTTCTTCTTCTAAACTCTTCTCCTTAATCACCTGAAAAAACGTATCCGGCAACCAGACTAAATTCTCGTTTTCGCGCTTTGTCAAATGAAGCGCTGATGGATACTTTCGACTATTAGAGATGGATTTATAAGCCAAACGGGGATCGATCCACTCTTGTCGGAAAGTGATTTGAGCTCTAAAAGCGATTTTCTATTGAAATTTTTCAAATTCCCACTTGATTTTCATCTCTTTTGTGGAAATTTCGGGAATTTGTCGCAAATAAATGTTCGCCGTCACCTCAATCGGCTTTCGTTTTCCTAAAAGTTCGCAAAGGTTTTCTAAACGATGTCTCCATCGACCGTAGTCTGTAATCTACCGTAATCTACCGTAATCCAGTGTAATCCTTCGTTTCTACCGTAATCTACCGTAATCTCGTAATTTCTACCGTAATATTGTCTCTATTTCTATCCAAACTATCCACTTTTTCTTTTAAACCAATTCTAAAGGGTTTTCATTTCTCGTACCTCGACTATCCAAAGTGTACGGTCGAATACGATGATCATACGTAGAATTGATCAAATTTTTCATATACCATTCAAGATTTTCGCTTTCCTCTTGCGAATAAATCGATTTTAAGCTAAATTTAAGCTAATTTCAGCTCTTTGGGTGTTCAGAAGTCTTTGAAAGACTCGCCACACTTTAAACGGCTATAACTTTGTCTAGAGACAATATTATGTTTAACTATTAATATAATTGAATAGAGGACATTTCAAGCTTTCAAATGATACCAAATAAAGCTTGATTGGATAATCTGATTCAAGAAAATTAGTCCAGAAAAAAGGCGATACAACACCAGAGTTGTCTTCGATTTCTTGGACTGTTTTTTTTTGACTCGTTTAGCCAATTAAACTCTATTTGGTATCATTTGATAGCCTAAAATGTCTTCTATTCAATGGTAGCAATATTTAAGCATAATATTGTCTCCAGACAAAGTTATAGCCATTTAAAGTGAGATGCGTTTTTCAAAATACCCGATTTTTTCAAAATACTCAAATTCTAGCTAAATTTTCATCAAATCAAAGTCTATAAATCAATTATAGCAAAAGAAAAATACCCTAAAAGTTTAACAAGTCATTAAAAATACCCCAAACTCATACTTTGAAGGCTTATAACTTTACAAAGAAAGAATATTATGCTTAACTATTCATATCATTGAATAGAGGACATTTCAGGCTTTCAAATCATATTAAATAGAGATTGATTGGATAATCCAGTCAAAAGAAACCAGTTCTGGAAGGTCAGAGTCAACTCTGAGCAAAGGAGGCCTTAGGTGTTGTATCGCCGTTTTTCTTGGGCCGATTTCTTTTGACTGGATTATTTAATTAAACTCTATTTGGTATCATTTGAAAGCCTGAAATGTCCTCTATTCAATGGTATGAATAGTTAAACATAATAATGTCTCTAGACAAAGTTATAGCCATTTAAAGTGAGATGCGTTTTTCAAAATACCCGATTTTTTCAAAATACTCAAATTCTAGCTAAATTTTCATCAAATCTAAACCTATAAATCAATTATAGCAAAAGAAAAATACTATAGAGAATATTTCAGGCTTTCAAATGATACCAAATAGAGCTTGATTGGATAATCCGGTCGAAAGAAATCAGTCCAAGAAAAAAGGCGATACAACACCCGGGGCTCAGAGTTGTCTTCGATTTTCTTGGACTGTTTTTTCTGGACTGGTTTAGCCAATCAAGCTCTATTTGGTATCATTTGAAAGCCTGAAATGTCCTCTATTCAACGATATCAATAGTTAAGCATACTATTGTCTCTAGACAAAGTTATAGCCATTTAAAGTGTGATGCATCTTTCAAAATACCCGATTTTTTCAAAATACTCAAATTCTAGCTAAATTTTCATCAAATCTAAACCTATAAATCAATTATAGCAAAAGAAAAATACTCTACCTGATACATAAAAAGGTCAGCAGCAGCTTAAAAACCATTTTGAATATCTAAAAAAGTAAAATTAAAAAAAATAAAAAAAATAAAAAAAGTAAAAAAGTAAAATTGTAAAATGCAAAAATCTAAAAAAAATTAATTTGAAAAATTTTGAAAATTTCAAAAATGAAAGCAATTTTCGACGTTTTTTGAGTCTTTTTTTGACATTTTGATGGAATAATCGGGTGAATTTTCGCGAAAATTACGGATCATCGAAAAAGAATCACTTTTTTTCCGCTTTTTTGAGTAATCTTTCCGACAGATCAAGTCAATCGGAGAGATTTCATTTTCACCTTGCTTTTTTCACGGATTTTGAGTGAATTTAAAGGAAAATATTTTAAGGGCCTTCTAAACTGGAAGTCACATCATAGGTTTTCCCTAGAATTGCAGAGTATTTTCAAGGTTTTGAGTTGCCCTTAAATTTGGCCTATTCTTGAACTAAGAGCTCGGTTTTACGATGCTTTTGGGCAAACTGGAAGTCACCTTATAGGTTTTCATCAAAATTTCAAGGTTATCTTTCATTTGAATTTCAAAGTATTTTCAGGGTTTTGAGCTACCCCTTAAATTTGACTTATTCTTTAGCTAAAAGCTGGATTTTGCGATGTTTTTGAGCAAACTGGAAGTCACATTATAGGTTTTCATCAAAATTTCACGGTTAGGTTTCATTTGAAATTCAAAGTATTTTCAGGGTTTTGAACTGCCCTTAAATTTGACCCATTCTTTAGCTAAGCGCTAGATTTTACGATGTTTTTGAGCAAACTGGAAGTCACCTTATAGGTTCTCACCAAAATTTTAGTAATATAGCCAGTTTAAACTAAGGTGTTGACGTGGCGCTAGATCGTATATAAGGCGGCTCTTTAGCTAAGGCGTATATAAGGCGACCAATTTGTTTTAAGCTGGGTTTTTGAGCAAACTGGAAGTCACTTTATAGATTTTCACCAAAATTTTAGTGATTTAACCAGCTTAAACTAAGGTGCCGACCTGGCGCTAGATCGTATATGCGCTAAAATGCGCGGTGGCGCTAAAATGCGTATATAAGGCGACCAATTAAGCTGGGTTTTGAGTAAACTGGAAGTCACATTAAAGGTTTTAACTAGAAATGACAAGTGTACTTTCGTTGAATTTTTCTCATTCTTTAATATCTTTAATATTTGAATGGAATAAGAATATTCGACTTTAACGAATTGGTCGCCTTATATACGATTTTTCAATTCGTATATAAGGCGACCAATTCGTTAAAATCAAAAAGCAAAAACTTCAAAATCAAAAAATTCGAAAAGAAAAGAATAAAAGGAAATTCTTAAACGTTTTGATTTTTAAGTAATTCAATCTTTTGAGAAAATTGAAGGCTTTCAAAGCAAAAGGAAAAGGAAAAAAAGAAGCTGAGAAAAAAAGAGCGAAATATAAACATTTTCCTTTTCTTTAGACACATCTTTTGCCAAAAATCAAAGATTAAAAAAATAAAAAATGAAATAATATCAATATTTTGTTATTTTGTTTGATTTAAACGCAAAATTAGAGATTTAGATTGGGTTCAAAGTGCAACAACATCGCGGTTGCTATTATCCTTTCGATGGAACCGGTCAGTTTCAGCTTAAGTTTAGTTTGAGCACTGCAAAACGTGCTTGAGAGGGGAACTGATGGGGAATGATCGATTGAGCGATTGGGTCAACAATTGAGCTAATGATTGAGCCACGATTCAGCCACGATTCAGCCAACAATTGAGCCACGATTGAGCCACGATTCAGCCAACAATTGAGCCACGATTGGGCCAATGATTGAGCCACGATTCAGCCACGATTGAGCCAATGATTGAGCCAATGATTGAGCCACGATTGAGCCACGATTCAGCCAACAATTGAGCCACGATTGAGCCACCATTCAGCCAACAATTGAGCCACGATTGAGCCACCATTCAGCCAACAATTGAGCCACGATTGAGCCACGATTGAGCCAACAATTGAGCCACGATTGGGCCAATGATTGAGCCACGATTCTGCCACGATTGAGCCAATGATTGAGCCCTGATTCAGCCAACAATTGAGCCACGATTGAGCCACGATTCAGCCAACAATTGAGCCACGATTGAGCCACCATTCAGCCAACAATTGAGCCACGATTGAGCCACGATTCAGCCAACAATTGAGCCACGATTGAGCCACGATTCAGCCAACAATTGAGCCACGATTGAGCCACCATTCAGCCAACAATTGAGCCACGATTGAGCCAATGATTGAGCCAATGATTGAGCCACGATTGAGCCACGATTCAGCCAACAATTGAGCCACGATTGAGCCACCATTCAGCCAACAATTGAGCCACGATTGAGCCACGATTCAGCCAACAATTGAGCCACGATTGAGCCACGATTCAGCCAACAATTGAGCCACGATTGAGCCACCATTCAGCCAACAATTGAGCCACGATTGAGCCACGATTCAGCCAACAATTGAGCCACGATTGAGCCAATGATTGAGCCAATGATTGAGCCACGATTGAGCCACGATTCAGCCAACAATTGAGCCACGATTGAGCCACGATTCAGCCAACAATTGAGCCACGATTGAGCCACCATTCAGCCAACAATTGAGCCACGATTGAGCCACGATTCAGCCAACAATTGAGCCACGATTGAGCCACGATTCAGCCAACAATTGAGCCACGATTGAGCCACCATTCAGCCAACAATTGAGCCACGATTGAGCCACGATTCAGCCAACAATTGAGCCACGATTGGGCCAATGATTGAGCCACGATTCAGCCACGATTGAGCCAATGATTGAGCCCTGATTCAGCCAACAATTGAGCCACGATTGAGCCACGATTCAGCCAACAATTGAGCCAGGATTGAGCCACGATTCAGCCAACAATTGAGCCACGATTGAGCCAATGATTGAGCCACGATTCAGCCACAATTGAGCCAATGATTGAGCCACGATTGAGCCAAGAATTAAGCCAAGAATTAAGCCAACGATTGAGCCAAAGAATTGAGCTCCGTCTTCTCTTTTTATCACACAAACAATCTTTAGAGAAAGGACAAAAGAATCAGAGATATTCAAAATCAAAGCAGCAAATAAGATTTCACAGAAAAGAACTACTTTTCTGCAAAAAGGGATTCGAAATATCCAATATCTTGGTTTTGATCTGACTTTGATCTTTGATCCAATAGTTCCCCTTTTAGGTGGAGTTCTTGCTCATGCTCTTTACCCGCCAAACGGTCAATTGCACTTCGATGATGATGAGAAATGGACGTATAAAGATGCGGAAAAGATCAGGTAGAGGCAGGGATGAGTTTTAAAGATCTGACTTCAATGAAATCTAGACGTGAGTACACTGATTTGCTTTATGTGGCGATTCACGAGATCGGGCACACGCTTGGTGTTGATCATTTAGAGAACAAGAACTCGATTATGTACTTCTCGTATAAGGTAAATTCATTTTCTATACAAAGATTCGTATATAAGACGGCCAATTCGTATATAAGACGGCCAATTCATATATAAGAAGGCCAATTCGTATATAAGACGGCCAATTCATATATAAGAAGGCCAATTCGTATATAAGACGGCCAATTCATATATAAGAAGGCCAATTCGTATATAAGACGGCCAATTCATATATAAGAAGGCCAATTCGTATATAAGACGGCCAATTCGTATATAAGACGGCCAATTTGTATATCAGATGGCCAATTCGTATATAAGACGGTCAACTCATATATAAGACAGTCAATTTATATATAAGACGGTCAATTCATATATAAGACGACCAATTCGTATATAAGACGGCCAATTCGTATATAAGACGGCCAATTTGTATATCAGATGGCCAATTCGTATATAAGACGGTCAACTCATATATAAGACAGTCAATTCGTATATAAGACGGCCAATTCGTATATAAGACGGCCAATTTATATATAAGACGGCCAATTCATATATAAGACGGCCAATTCATATATAAGAAGGCCAACTCGTATATAAGACGGCCAATTCGTATATAAGACGGCCAACTCGTATATAAGACGGCCAATTCGTATATAAGACGGCCAACTCATATATAAGACGGCCAATTCATATATAAGAAGGCCAATTCGTATATAAGACGGCCAACTCGTATATAAGACGGCCAATTCGTATATAAGACGGCCAATTCTGTATATTTAGGAACCAATCGATGTTCGCGGTCGCTACATCGAGCCGACTTTACACCAAGTGGACATTGCTGCCATTCAGAAGATTTATGGTAAGTGGAGACGGTAAAATGAGCAACCATTTGTTGAAAACTTTTTGTCAAGTCCTTTTCTTTCAAAAAAGCTCTAGTATGTTTTAAAAGCTCAAAATTGTGATTTCGAACAATTACTACAATTGTTACTTGTCTAAAAGTCTAATAGCTTAGGGAGAATTGCAAATTGATACAGAGCTTTTTAGGGAAACGCGAGAGAGCTCCAGCTCCAGCTCTCCCAACCCGAAGACCCGCAAATGATGAAATTGAGATTGGAGCTGCTGATCCGGTTAACCATAATGGTGGGAAATTGCAGCTGTTAACCAAGACTGTTTTCTAAGATCAGTCCAAGCTTTAGCTTAGGCAAGAATCAAAAATTGAAAGCGTATCGAAATCCTAAAGTGTGCCTTTCAGAAAGACCAAAAGCATCGTAAGATCGTAAATTATCTTTCATTTGAGTTCAAATGAAAGATAACCTTGAAATTTTGATGAAAATCTATAATGTGACTTCCAGTTTGCTCAAAACCCAGCTTAAAACGAATTGGTCGGCTTATATACACCTTAGCTAAAGAGCCGCCTTATATACGATATAGCCCCATGGGACCACCTTAGTTTAAGTTGGCTATATCAGTTAAATTGTGGTGAAAATCTATAATGTGACTTCCAGTTTACTCAAAACCCAGCTTAAAATGAATTGGTCAGCTTATATACGCCTTATCTAAAGAGCCGCCTTATATACGATATAGCCCCATGGGACCACCTTAGTTTAAGCTGGCTATATTACTAAAATTTTGGTGAAAACCTATAATGTGACTTCCAGTTTGCCCAAAACCATCGTAAAATCGAGCTCTTAGCTCAAGAATGTGTCAAATTTAAGGGCAGCTCAAAACCCTGAAAATACCTTTGAGTTCAAATGAAAGATAACCTTGAAATTTTGATGAAAACCTATAATGTGACTTCCAGTTTGCCCAAAAATATCGTAAAATCCGGCTTTCAGCTAAAGAATAGGCCGAATTTAAGGGGTAGCTCAAACTTAGAAAATACTTTGAATTTCAAATGAAACCTAACCTTGAAATTTTGATGAAAACCTATAATGTGACTTCCAGTTTGCCCAAAAGCATCGTAAAACCGAGCTCTTAGTTCAAGAATAGGCCAAATTTAAGGGCAACTCAAAACCTTGAAAATACTCTGCAATTCTAGGGAAAACCTATGATGTGACTTCCAGTTTAGAAGACCCTTAAAATATTTTCCTTTAAATTCACTCAAAATCGGTAAAAAAGCAAGGCGAAAATGAAATCTCAAAAATGAAATCTTAGTTTAAGCTGGCTATATTACTAAAATTTTGGTGAAAACCTATAAGATGACTTCCAGTTTGCCCAAAAACATCGTAAAATCTAGCGCTTAGCTAAAGAATGGGTCAAATTTAAGGGCAGTTCAAAACCCTGAAAATACTTTGAATTTCAAATGAAACCTAACCTTGAAATTTTGATGAAAACCTATAATGTGACTTCCAGTTTGCTCAAAAACATCGCAAAATCCAGCTTTTAGCTAAAGAATAAGTCAAATTTAAGGGGTAGCTCAAAGCATTGAAAATACTTTGAAATTCAAATGAAACCTAACCTTGAGATTTTGATGAAAACCTATAATGTGACTTCCAGTTTGCCCAAAAACATCGTAAAATCGAGCTCTTAGCTAAAGAATGGGTCAAATTTAAGGGCAGTTCAAAACCCTGAAAATACTTTGAAATTCAAATGAAACCTAACCTTGAAATTTTGATGAAAACCTATAATGTGACTTCCAGTTTGCTCAAAAACATCGTAAAACCGAGCTCTTAGTTCAAGAATAAGTCAAATTTAAGGGGTAGCTCAAAGCATTGAAAATACTTTGAAATTCAAATGAAACCTAACCTTGAGATTTTGATGAAAACCTATAATGTGACTTCCAGTTTGCCCAAAACCACCGTAAGTCCAGTCTTTAGCTCAACGCGACGGCGAAACGAAACTCGGTAGCGACGTTTTTATCGAGCGCTCTAGTGGTAAAGTTGCGAATTTGCAAAAAGACGAGAAATTTGTCTACATCGAGAGAAATATACATATCGATTAAATAAAAAGTGTTTTCTCTTTGTAATTAAGATTTACGATAAAGATTTGAGAAAGATTTGAAAGATTTGAGGCGAAAAAAAGAAAAAAAACGTTTCCAAGGTTACCAAATTTGTTTTTTTGCTTTCAGCTGTCGAAAATTGAAGATTTTAATTGGAAATTTGGGGGAAAAGGTGGAAATTTCAAGTTTAAAGAAGCTTTAAATCAACTCAAACAACTCTAAATCATTTTTTGGCAGAGGACCTTAAATTCCAATTTCCAATTGTCCAATTTTGACGTTTTATAGCTCATCCTAAAGCTGAATTCAAGACGGATCGATTGGTGAAAACCGTTTTGAGATATCTCTTTTCTAAATGTTTTTACAGCTATTTTAGTAAAGGGCGACAGAGCCAAAACAGCCAAAAAAATGGATGTTTTCACGTTTCGTTAGTTTTCCGTGCAGAAACCTAGGCTAAAAACATGTTTTTCGTGATCAGCGTCCAAAATAACCCCTAGACACGCATTTTCAGAATCTTAGCAAAAAATTTTTGAAAAATATTGTCACTGGTGGGAGTCGAACCAGCGACCCTCAGATCAATAGCCTTTCCGCCGCTTTTCGCGATTTTCCTTCGTTTTGAAAGATTTGAGGCGGAAAAAAAACGTTACCAAAGTTACCAAATTGTTTTTTTTGCTTTCAGTTGATCTAAAATTGAAGATTTTAATTGGAAATTCTCGGGAAACGTGTAAATCTTCAACTTTAAATTTCAAAAAAGCTTCCAATATCTTTACGAGTAAAGCTAAAAGATGAAAAATTTTGGAAAAAAACTGTAACTTTTCCATCATAATCTTATCCGCTTTCTATTTCATTTCTTCATATTCAATAAGGTATAAAGAAAGCTTTCGATAGCTTTTCATTATCTACTTTTACGAAGAAACCCTTTTTCTTTTCATTAGTGTTCAAGTTTTGAATCATTTTGCTAGTATTTCATCCAACAGATCATTTTCTAATGAAGCACATAAAAATTAGCTCAAAGCTGACAAGTTTGCAAAAGTTGTTGGAGGAAAAGTACGGTGAGCGGGGGCTTCGGGAGGGGGGTTCTGGGAGAGAGGCTCCGGGAGAGGGGCTCCGGGACGAAAGGCTCCTAGAGGAAAGGCTCCGGGAGGAAAGGCTCCTGGAGGGGGGCTCCGTGATGCCCCCCCCGCTTCACCCTCCCGGGGCCCACGCTCCCAGAGCCCCCATCACGGAGCCTCCCCTCCTGAAGCCTCCCCTCCTGAAGCCTCCGCTCCCGGAGCCTCCCCTCCTGAAGCCTTCCTTCCCAGGCTTCGTGATGGAGGGGAGAGCTTCGGGAGGGGAGAGCTCCGTGCTGTGGGGCTCCGGGACGGGGTACCGTGGGATCTACGTGGTAAATAGTTGAACGTATCAATGTCCACGAGTCCCCCAATATTCGTCGCCTTTGGGAATGCTAGTTTGAATAAAGAATAGCGTCACTAGAGATGCTTTTGGGTTTACATTTCGGTTTTGATTTCGGTTTTGATTTTGATTTTGACCGACACCTAGCACATCTTGTTTAGTTTTTTGCGCTGACTCCGATGTTGTATTTCGTTTGGGGCTGATGATGCTAAAATTTTGAGATATTTAGCTTCAAAGTTTACGTGAAAATTGGGCATCCAAGAACGGGCGTACCCACGAGTCTTAAGGGTTCTACAGAGATTTGTAAACATGATGTGGTGGCCTAATCTATTAGACAATCTATTTTGGCTCCACTCCACTCCACTATATTGGCCTAGAGCTCTCGTTCTTTTGTCCCTGGTTCAAATCCGGCTTACGATTTTGGGTGGTTGAAAAAGCGACGGGCATGCCCTTCTATTAGAAAAATTATCGTCCTATAAGCACACAGATCGAAATAAAACGCGAAGAAAACATCTAAACTTTAGGAAACGACCGACCAACCGATGAGACCCCGAAAAGCACGAGTTGTCCGGTGAAGATTGACGCAATTGTTGCAGGTTTTTATTTCCAATTCTCAATTTTAAATCTTGCTGAGAAATCCGACAATTTTTCAGTTTTTTTCAATTGTTTATACCTTTTTAGACGGCTCATCAACACTCATTTTTGATGGGAACACACTTTTTATTTTTAACGATCAACGCCGAATTGTCAAGGTTGTAAAAAAGAATATATTTTGATCTTTACGCATTGGCCGTCTTATATATGAATTGGTCGTCTTATATACGAATTGGCCGTCTTATATACGAATTGGCCGTCTTATATACGAATTGGCCGTCTTATATACAGTAGGGTCCAAAAGTTTGGAACAATCACCTTCCGGCAACTTTAACTCGATGTAACTTGCGTTAATTACATTCAATTTTGTTACTTTAAAAACTATTTTTGTTGCATTTTTTGTGAACTTTCTGAATGTCTATTTGATTTTATTTGATATTTGATCTTTTTTTTGTCTTGCTCTTTTTCTTGGAACACCCATTTTTTAGGGGTCCAAAAGTTTGGAACAATTTCAAAAATATCAATACATTTTTAATTTTAAGATGCCAAATCGTTCGAATTTGACGGAGTATGATAAAGAACTTATTGTGGCTGAAGTAAATCGAGGAAAGAGCCGTCAAGAAGTCGCCACAACATTCGGTGTCACCCATTCAGCAGTAACCAAGATTTATAACAAATGGAAGGTTTCCGGAAATGTGAAACGAGCAGCAACAAAGGGAAGGCCAGCTAAACTGGATGAGCGTGATGAGAGGACACTTGTGCTTCCATTTAAGAAGAATCCACGCCTCAATTCAGCTGATCTACGTCGAGACGCCGAGTCAAGCTATGGAGTTTCGCTCTCCAAAACGACGGCTAAGCGCATCTTAAAGTCATTTTATGATTTAAAAAGCAATAAAATATTGCTGTTTACGAGACAAGGACTCAAAGGAAGTCGTCCGTCTCGAAAGCCGTTGATTTCCGGCAAGAACGTGAAGGCTCGGCTCGAGTTTGCCAAGAAGTACAAAGACTGGTCGGCTGATGATTGGAGTGATGTATTGTGGAGTGACGAAAGCAAATATGAGCTCTTTTCCACCAATGGAATTCGATACATTAGACGTCCAATTAATCAAAGAAACAATCCAAAGTATCAAATTCCAACAGTCAAACACGGCGGTGGATCAGTTATCGTTTGGGGTTGGTTACCTCCATTATCAACGGAGCTTATTTGAATTTAGGTTGTTTTTCACGATACGGTGTCGGTCCAATTGTCCGAATCAATGGTATTATGGATGCAGCTGTTTATGAAAACATCTTGAAGACCCATATGCTTCCACACGGCAGAAACAACTTGGCCAACGACTTCATTTTCATGCACGATAATGATCCGAAGCATACGGCCCAGCGTGTTAAGCAATGGCTTCAACAAAAAAACGTCGATGTGCTTCAATGGCCGGCTCAAAGCCCTGATCTGAATCCAATAGAGCATCTTTGGGAGCATTTGGACCGACAAATCCGAACCAGAAACTTCACAAAAACATCAGAACTCATGAAAGCGCTTGAGGAGGAATGGACTAAGATCCCAAGGCAAATCATTGACAATTTGATTGATTCGATGCCAAATCGTTGCGCAGCTGTTATTAAAGCAAAGGGATACGCCACAAAATACTGAATTTTGCCGGTTAATCGTTAAATGAATTGATATTTTTGAAATTGTTCCAAACTTTTGGACCCCTAAAAAATGGGTGTTCCAAGAAAAAGAGCAAGACAAAAAAAAGATCAAATATCAAATAAAATCAAATAGACATTCAGAAAGTTCACAAAAAATGCAACAAAAATAGTTTTTAAAGTAACAAAATTGAATGTATTTAACGCAAGTTACATCGAGTTAAAGTTGCCGGAAGGTGATTGTTCCAAACTTTTGGACCCTACTGTATCATTTGGCCGTCTTATATACGAATTGGTCGTCTTATATACGAATTGGCGATCTTATATACGAATTGACCGCCTTATATATGAATTGGCCGTCTTATATACGTATTGGCCTTCTTATATACGACCTGGCCGTCTTATATACGAATTGGCCGTCTTATATACGAATTGGCCGTCTTATATACGAATTGGCCGTCTTATATACGAATTGGCCGTCTTATATACGAATTGGCCGTCTTATATATGAATTCGCGGCCTTATATACGAATTGACCGTCTTATATACGAATTGGCCGCCTTATATACGACCTGGCCGTCTTATATACGACCTGGTCGTCTTATATACGATCTGGTCGTCTTAGAGACGACATGGCCGTGTTATATACAAGTTGGCCGTCCTATAGATGTATTGGCCGTCTTATAGATGAGTTGGCCGTCTTATATACGAATTGGCCGTCTTATATAGAATATATTTTGATCTTTTGATTGAAAAATGAAAGTCTTTGAAGTAAAGATTTTCAACTACAAATAGAGAACGCTTCAAGTGCATTTTTAAAGTTTTAAAAGCAAATCTTAAACTTTAAATGACTGCGAGAGCTCAATGATCAAAATTTCAAACGTTAGAGAATCTTTCAGCAACACTTGATCAATGAGATCTTCTCGGATCCACCCCAACAACTCGAGGCGGCTGTTTTGGATCATCGAATGCGGAAATTGATCTTCTTTGAGGTATGCAAAGAGTTAGAAGGATCATTTTTTCACATCTATCAATCCCATTCCCTTCTGTGGCATCCAGATCTTTGATTTCTTTTATTGTTTTAATAAAAAGCACTTTGAAGTCTTCAAAAAGATTAGAATTTAACAAAAAAAAACATTAAAATTTCATCAAATCATCAAATGATCAAAAAAAATAGCTTGAAAATCCTCATTTTCCAGCGTGGCGGTACTCTTCACGCGTATTTCCATTCAAACTTTTTCAATCGTTACCTCAGCGCGTATAAAAGAAGATTCGATCAGTATCATCACCTCACCGGAGCGATTTCTTTCAAAAGTGGAGCGATTTTGTTGCTAGATGTAAGGATTTTACAGAATTTCGATTTACAATTTAACCGTCACCGTTTTTAACCGTTTTTAGAAAAACTATAAATACGCTACTTACGATTCTCGCCTTGGAAACTCATCCGAGTTCAAACCAATCGATTTCCAGAATTTTCCACGTAATGTTCGAGTAAGTTTCAAGCTGGATAGCAAGGTTAAACTAGGGGAAATGATAGATTAGGTTACAAGGATCAGGGCTTACTGTAAGGCTTACTGTAAGGCTTACTGTAAGGCTTATCGTAGGGGTTACTGTAGGGGTTACTGTAGAGCTTACGGGATACTGTAGAGCTTAGTGTAGAGCTTGCGGGTTACTGTAGAGCTTACAGGTTACTGTAGAGCTTACTCTGGAGCTTACGGGTTACTGTAGAGCTTACAGGTTACTGTAGAGCTTACTGTAGGGCTCACGGGTTACTGTAGAGCTTACTGTAGAGCTTACGGATTACTGTAGAGCCTACGGGTACTGTAGGGCTCACGGGTTACTGTAGAGCTTGCTGTAGAGCTTACGGATTACTGTAGAGCCTACGGGTTACTGTAGAGCTTGCTTTAGGGCTTACGGGTTACTGTAGAGCTTACTGTAGAGCCTACGGGTACTGTCGAGCTTACGGCTTACTGTAGAGCTTGTCGTAGAGCTTACGGGTTACTGTAGAGCTTACTGTAGAGCCTACGGGTACTGTAGAGCTTACAGGTTACTGTAGAGCTTGTCGTAGAGCTTACGGGTTACTGTAGAGCTTACTGTAGAGCCTACGGGTACTGTAGAGCTTACAGGTTACTGTAGAGCTTGTCGTAGAGCTTACGGGTTACTGTAGAGCTTACTGTAGAGCCTACGGGTACTGTAGAGCTTACAGGTTACTGTAGAGCTTGTCGTAGAGCTTACGGGTTACTGTAGAGCTTACTGTAGAGCCTACGGGTACTGTAGAGCTTACGGCTTACTGTAGAGCTTGTCGTAGAGCTTACGGGTTACTGTAGAGCTTACGGCTTACTGTAGGGCTTACGGACTACTGTAGAGCCTACGGATTACTGTAGGGTTTACAGTAGATCTTACTGTAAAGCTTACAGCTCTTACTATTCGTCAAAAAAAGGATTTTTTTCAGGGAGCGATCAAAGCCAGCCACGACGAATCCCAACTTTATCTCTTCACAAATAATCGCGTCTACTTGTACAATGTAGACGAGGAAATCGTTGAGAAAGAGCAAGCATTGAGCGAATGGTTGAATTGCCGTTGAGTTACCGTTGAATTGCCATTGAAAAGACGAATTTTCTAATAAAGTATTACTTATTTATGCAGTTTTCAAGGAAAGAAGCTAAAGTTGTTCTAATGACAAGATTTCTAGGTCAAGCAAGACAATGGGTCAAGCAAGACTGCCAGTTTCTATCCGATCGCCTCAATTTCAATGCCATTAAGCCTTGTGCATTCCAGATTGGACTAATCGAATGGAAACTGGCGGTCAAATTACAGTAGTTTTCTAAAACACACCTAATCCAGAAACTACTGTAACCGATACCGCCAGTTTCTATCCGATCGCCTTAATTTCAATGTCATTAAGCCTGGTGCATTCCAGATTAGCTTAATCGAATGAAAACTGGCGGCCAGATTACGGTAGTTTTCTAAAACACACCTATTTCAGAAAGCTACCGTAACCGACCCCTCCAGTTTCTATCAGATCAACCCAATTTTAATGCCATTAAGCCTTGTGCATTCCAGATTGAGCTAATCGAATGAGAAGTGGCGGTAAAAGCACGGTGGTTTTTTGAAACTGGAGTCCTTTTGTAAATCGTCTTTATTTCCCCAGTTCTGTGGAATTTCCCGTCAATATAGCAATTTTCGAGTTCTTTCAGAAGGCGTTGTGGGATTCAACGGCTCATGTTCGTAGTTCAAAAGAAATTGTTGCATTATTGGCGTCAAAACGGATGCTTTAAAAGCCTCTTAATGGATAGCGCTTTAGGCTACCAATTCGCTTAATATACCAACTCGTATATAAGACCGCCAATTTGTCTATAAGGCGACCAATTCGTCTCTAAGGCGGTCAATTTGTCTATAAGGCGACCAATTCGTCTTTAAGGCTGTCAATTCGTATATAAGGAGACCAATTCGTCTCTAAGGCGGTCAATTCGTATATAAGGCGACCAATTCGTATATAAGGCGACCAATTCGTATATAAGGCGCCATTCGTTATGGCCCAATTCGTCTCTAAGGCGGTCAATTCGTATATAAGGCGACCAATTCGTCTCTAAGGCGGTCAATTCGTATATAAGGCGACCAATTCGTATATAAGGCGACCAATTCGTATATAAGGCGGCCAATTCGTATATAAGGCGACCAATTCGTCTCTAAGGCGGTCAATTCGTATATAAGGCGACCAATTCGTCTCTAAGGCGGTCAATTCGTATATAAGGAGACCAATTCGTCTTTAAGGCTGTCAATTCGTATATAAGGCGACCAATTCGTCTCTACGGCGGTCAATTCGTATATAAGGAGACCAAATCGTCTTTAAGGCGGTCAATTCGTATATAAGGCAACCAATTCGTATATAAGACTGCCTATTCGTATATAAGGCGACCAATTCGTATATAAGACTGCCTATTCGTATATAAGGCGACCAATTCGTAGAATCAGACAAAAAGTGGATGGATTGGAGACAAGATTACGATAGAAATAGAGGCAAAATAAAGACAAGATGAGGAAAAGGGAAACGGATTTGGGAACGGATTCGGAAACGGATTTTAGAACAAAATTTTTATGGTTTAGCTTGAAAAACGATTGAAAATGTGAGGAAATGACGTTTTTTCATTTGTTGCCCTTTTTAATCATTCAAAATCATTCATTTTTGCTTTTTTTTCTGCCGAAGAGACCTCTTTTATTGATTTTTAACGTTCATAAACTTTATTAAATACAAAGAAAGCTTTTAAAATATCACATTTTGAGTAAAATCTCACAAAAAATTTGCAAATTTGCAAAAAAATTCGATGATTTCATTGATTTTCGAGATTTTTCCTTAATTTCTATCCTTTTTGGCTATTTCTCTTGATTTCCGCGACGCTTTCGAATGTCAAATTTGGTGCGGAGAATGCTAAAAGTTGATTTTAATCAGAATTACATCGAAATCTCTGTTCAAATTTCTTCTTTCTAGTGAAATTTAGAGAGAATTTACAAGTTTAAAGTTGTAAAAAGTTGATTTGAGTTGATTTGAGTCGATTTTTGGCTATTTTTGGCTAATTTTTGAGTATTTCTAACTATTTTTGGCTAATTTTGGCTAATTTTTGCCTATTTTTGCTCTCTAAAACAGTTAAAAATGGCTTAAAATCACTCAAAATCACTCAAAATCGCTTAAAATCACTCAAAATCACTTAAAATAACTTAAAATCGCTTAAAATCACTTAAAATCGCTTAAAATCGCTTAAAATCACTTAAAATCACTTAAAATCGCTTAAAATCACTCAAAATCACTCAAAATAACTTAAAATCGCTTAAAATAACTTAAAATCGCTTAAAATCGCTTAAAATCACTTAAAATCACTTAAAATCACTCAAAATCACTTAAAATCACTCAAAATCGCTTAAAATCGAATTTCAAATGTCAAATTTGGTGCGGAGAATGCTAAAAGTTGATTTTAATCAGAATTACATCGAAATCTCTGTTGAAATTCTTTTGAAATTCCGCTTTCTAGTGGAAATTAGAGAGAATTTAGGGATTTTAAAGTTGTAAAAAGTTGATTTGAGTCGATTTTTGGGTATTTTGGGTATTTTTGACTAATTTTGGGTATCTTTGACTATTTTTGGCTATTTTTGGCTAATTTTTGGGCATTTTTGGTCATTTTTGGCTAATTTTAGCTAATTTTGCCTAGTTTTTGGCTAATTTTTTTGGGTATTTTAGCTAATTTTTGGCTATTTTTGGCTATTTTTGGACCATTTTTGGTTATTTTTGGCTAATTTTAGCTAAGTTTTGGCCATTTTTGACTATTTTTGGTTAATTTTGGCTAATTTTAGCTAATTTTAGCTAATTTTTGGCCTTTTTAGACTATTTTTGGCTAATTTTTGGGTATTTTAAGCTATTTTTGGCTATTTTTGGCTAATTTTTGGGTATTTTTAGCTATTTTTGGCTATTTTTGGCTATTTTTGGTTATTTTTGACTATTTTTGCTGTCTAAAACAGTTAAAAATAGCTTAAAATCGCTTAAAATCACTTAAAATCGATCAAAAATCAACTCAAAGTAGGGCTGGGATTTGGTTTTAACAACAAAAAAGTACTCACTGATTGATGGAGGATCTCGACGGGAGTGTGTCCCTCGTGCAAAGTCCGTCGCGCAGCAATTGCGCTCGGATCTCTGTCTGGCTGTAGATTCCCAATCTGGAAAAGGGAAAGCTAAAGAAAGGGATGAGCTCAAGCTAAAGAACGAAGCACTTTACTAGCTTTTAAACAAATGAACCTTTTATAATAGTCGCGAATCGCTGTGACTAATGGTCCCTCTGGTCTTCCTTCTTTTGCATCTTTTGGCTTTACACTTCCCGTTTTTCGATATCTAAAAGATCGATTTTTAGCAAATTCAACGTTTTTCAAAAAAAACCCGTTCAAAATAAGAGCAAAATTCGTAGATTGCCAATGGCAAATGAACCGAAAAATGGTTTCCCGAAAGCTGACAAGTCTGCTAAAAGTTGTTGGAGGGAAAAATGTGTTGTGAATCGGTGAAAATGTCAATGTCCATCAATTGAGTCTCTTCCTAAGTCATTTTTACTCGATTAACCGACGTTTTTGGTCGAGTAGCCGCGAGTAATCTTCTTTAAACCTCGAGTAAATTGAATATCTTTACATTTGAAGGGGAATTCGCCAGCGAATCAGTCAAACTCCTGAATATCTTTCAAAAAACTCGTATATAAGGCGGTCAATTCGTATATAAGGCGGCCAATTCGTATATAAGGCGGTCAATTCGTATATAAGGCGGTCAATTCGTATATAAGGCGGTCAATTCGTATATAAGGCGGTCAATTCGTATATAAGGCGGTCAATTCGTATATAAGGCGGCCAAATCGTCTCTAAGGCGGTCAATTCGTATATAAGGCAACCAATTCGTATATAAGACTGCCTATTCGTATATAAGACCGCCAATTCGTTTCTAAGGCGACCGATTCGTATATAAGACGGCTCATTCGTATATAAGGCGACCAATTCGCCTATAAGACCGCTAATTCGTATATAAGACGGCCAGGTCGTATATAAGACGGCCAATTCGTTTATAAGACGGCCAACTCGTATATAAGACGGCCAATTCATTTATAAGGCGGCCAATTCATATATAAGGCGGCCAATTCGTATATAAGACGGCCAGGTCGTATATAAGGCGGCCAATTCGTTTATAAGGCGACCAATTGGTCTCTAAGGCGGGCAACTCGTATATAAGACGGCTAATTGGAGTATAAGGCAACCATGCGTGTATAAGGCGTCCAATGCGTACATAAGACCGTCAATGCGTATATAAGGCCGTCAATTTGTATTAGATAGGTTTTTTTTATCTACATTTAGCGCTTGCTTGTCTATTGTTTGTACCATATTATTCGTGTTAATAAATGCCTTTTTTTTTGGCCAAATTATAGTAGCTTTGCGGTAGTTTTAAACCCTAAAAGATTGAAAATCGATTAGCACAAACCTTTGCAAGATTTTCGAGACACAAGAATGCGTAACAGCCAATCTTCTCGAAATGTCGCATATTCGCCAGCCCTCTTGATATAAACGGACGATGAATTGCCGCTCAGAGAGACTCAATGGGATCCCGGGAGAGAAAGCACGTCCAAGTTGATTTCGACCTGAGTCTTTGGCTTTAAAGATGGCTTTAATAGTTTGCTAGAGGCTTAACCCAATCTAAATACAGTAGTATTTGTCAATCTAATGCTTATAGAGTTTAATTCATAGCCTAGTCTCGTTATAAAACAATTGGAATTTATAGAAAACTGTTTGCAAGTCATTTTCGATGAAACTTTATTGATTCTGACGAATTTGGGGACTATTTTTGGTCTTTTGAGCTACAGTAATCTAGTCTAAAGCTTACTAGGACAATTCTACAGTAACTGGCTAGAGTAAACGGCTAGAGTAATAGGCTAGAGTAACTGGCTAGAGTAACTGGCTAGAGTAACCGGCTAGAGTAACTGGCTAGAGTAACCGGCTAGAGTAACTGGCTAGAGTAACCGGCTAGAGTAAACGGCTAGAGTAATAGGCTAGAGTAACTGGCTAGAGTAACTGGCTACAGTAATCGGCTAGAGTAATAGGCTAGAGTAACTGGCTAGAGTAACTGGCTAGAGTAACTGGCTAGAGTAACCGGCTAGAGTAACTGGCTAGAGTAACCGGCTAGAGTAACTGGCTAGAGTAACCGGCTAGAGTAAACGGCTAGAGTAATAGGCTAGAGTAACTGGCTAGAGTAACTGGCTAGAGTAACTGGCTAGAGTAACCGGCTAGAGTAACTGGCTACAGTAATCGGCTAGAGTAACTGGCTAGAGTAACTAGCTAGAGTAACTGGCTAGAGTAACTGGCTAGAGTAACCGGCTAGAGTAACTGGCTACAGTAATCGGCTAGAGTAATCGGCTAGAGTAACTGGCTAGAGTAACTGGCTAGAGTAACTGGCTAGAGTAACTGGCTACAGTAATCGGCTAGAGTAACTGGCTAGAGTAACTAGCTAGAGTAACTGGCTAGAGTAACTGGCTAGAGTAACTGGCTACAGTAACTGGCTACAGTAACCCTATCCAAATCCTCACCAATTGTTCTCTTCCTTGCTCTCACAGCTTTGACAGCACTTGAATCCGATTGTACAGCTGAAGAATCAGAAGAAGTCGGTGAACAAGACTCGTAAATACTTGGAACTGGAATTGAGACAGGGAATTGATTAGAATAGGCTTCATTCAATGGATTTAATTGCTCTAGTGTTCCGCTTGGAAAACAAGACTGTAGAGAAGTACAAGGAGCACATTGGGTCAAATAGGAATTCGGAAGATGTGATGGTAGAAGACCCATCTTGTCCGAGAGAAAATGCGGACCGGCAAGATTGCATTCGAACGATTGAATTGAAGATTGCGTTGAGCACAATTGAGAGGGAAAGAAAAGGAGGGGCTCGGGTGGAGTGGGAAGGGGGTGGTGAGTGGAATGGGAGGAGTAGGCAAGGGATTCATTCGATCGAGTGCTCGAGGATGGAGTCGAGGCGAGGGCCAGCGATTGGTAGACAGAAGGGCCCGAGGCTGGATGCTGGGTCTGAAATTGCATAGGAATACTGTGAGTTGGAGAAGTTATCCTAAAACTGGCAAGATAGGCTTAATTTTGGAATGAAACTTCATTCTGGAAGGCACAGCAGCTATTGAACACAAATTCAGCTTGATTAGCTTAAGTTCAGGGTTGGCAGCTAATGTACCGTAATCTCTAGCTATAGTAATCCCGGTTCCTGATTAACGGAGTATCTTAAACTTGACAGTAAATCGAGTTCTGGAAGTCACAACAGCTTTTAAGCACAAAATCAGCTCGATTCGGTCGTTCAGGGTTGGCAGCTAAGGTACCGTAATCTCTGGCTACCGTAATCCCTGGTTCCTAATTAACGGAGTATCTTAATCTTGTCAGCAAATCAATTTCTGGAAGTCACAATAACTTTTAAGTACAAAATCAGCTTGATTAGCTCAAGTCCAGGGTTCGCAGCAAAGGTACTCTGGCTACCGTAATCCCTGGTTCCTAATTAACGGAGTATCTTAATCTTGTCAGTAAATCGAGTTCTGGAAGTCACAGCAGCTTTTAAGTACAAAACCAGCTTGATTAGCTCAAGTCCAGGGTTCGCAGCAAAGGTACCGCAATCTCTGGCTACCGTAATCCCTGGTTCCTAATTAACGGAGTATCTTAATCTTGTCAGCAAATCAAGTTCTGGAAGTCACAATAACTTTTAAGCACAAATTCAGTTCGATTAGCTCAAGTTGGAGAAATTGTAGTTTAATAAGTATTATAGGCTTTAGGCTTTTGAAACTTATAAGTCAAAGCCAATCAAAGTCATTCATTTAAATCTAAACTAGTTTTTTAGTCAACCAATAGATTCTAGGAAGCTGAGAATAAGATTAGATGTGTTAGGTCAGTTAGATCAGTTCTCTAGCCATGCTAACAGTAAACGTTTGCTTCTTTAACTAGAATAATAACTAAAATAACTAGAATAACTAGAACAACTAGACTAACTAGAGTAACTAGAGTAACTAGAGTAACTAGAATAACTAGAATAAGTAGACTAACTAGAATAACTTCTCTAGTTACTCTAGTTATTCTATTTATTCTATTTATTCTAGTTCTTATTCTATCTTAGAATAACTTCTCTAATTATTCTGAAAAAAGAAATCTACTTATCGCTTATGAATCTAAATCAATTATTCACAAAAATCTCAAATCTAAATACAAAAATGATGCTCAAGTTCCAGTGAAACACCACGTGAAATTTCAGCCATCGTTTCAGCCAAGTAACCGAGACGAGAAACGAAATATTTAGGCAATAAAACACAACTTTTGTGCACCAAATTTTGATTTTAATCCCTCTATTTCCCAAAAAACCCAAAAAAAAATCCTTGTTTTTGGTCGATTTCAGCTTTTTTTTTCCGTCATTTACTTTGTTTTAGCCTTTTTTTAAATCAAAAATACATCAGAAACAGCTTTCTTTTGTCGAGTTTCTTCTTAGATACTTATTTATTACAAATCTCTTTTCTAACGCCTCTCAATTCTCACTTACCGTAGCTGCTGTGAGCGTTGGATCGCTTGGATAGACGAGAGCACTTTGTGCGCTTTGTTGAGCAGTATCCGAGCAGAAAGTTGTCTGAAATTTGATGATTACGGTGTTGTAGCTTGCTTTAAAGCTAAAGATCAGGTATTAAGATTTCAGTGACGATATTCAGTACTAGTTTTAAGGATTAGGATTAGGCTGAGGCTTAGGCTCAGGCACAGGCTTGGGCTCAGGCTTAGGCTCAGGCACAGGCTTGGGCTCAGGCTTAGGCTGAGGCTTAGGCTCAGGCTCAGGCTTAGGCTTAGGCTGAGGCTTAGGCTCAGGCACAGGCTTGGGCTCAGGCTTAGGCTCAGGCACAGGCTTGGGCTCAGGCTTAGGCTCAGGCACAGGCTTGGGCTCAGGCTCAGGCTCAGGCTTGGACTTAGTGCGTAGGCTAGTGACTAGCGCCTAGCACTAAGTCTATTTGGGTTTGGGCTGAACCCCCATTTTCTGGATCTCAGCCATTTCCCGGAGCTAAGGCACACCCGCTGGGCGATGCTCATCCGCCCCCCCATAGGAGCTCAGGCTCAGGCTCAGGCTCAGGATTAGGTTCAGGCTCAGGCTCAGGGCTAGGTTCAGTCTCAGGCTCAGGCTTAGGTTCAGGCTTAGGTTCAGATTCAGGCTCAGGCTTAGGCTTAGGCTCAGGTTCAGGCTTAAGCTCAGGCTCAGGCTCAGGCTCAGGCTCAGGCTTAGGCTCAGGCTCAGGCTCAGGCTCAAGCTTAATCTTAGGCTCCAAGATTCAGATTGAAGGCCAGGTTTAGAACTTAGAAATGCAGCTTTCTTCGATGCCTTCGATTTCTTAGAACTTAGAAAAGCAGCTTTCGATTTCTAAGCTCTAAACTCGATTTTTAAGCTCTGAACTTGGTTTCAAGTGCTAAACTCAATTTCTAAGTTCTAATCTTAATTTTTGCCACAATTTAACCCAATTTGACACTTTGTTAAAAGCATAAAAACCGATTTTTACTTTACAAACATTTCCCGTAAACCTTTTCGCATTGTTTTTCATCTTAAAACAAATCAGTTCCACTTCATTCACCCAGAAAATCTTTTAAACTAGTTGAAGAAGGTGTAAACAAGGTTTTTTTTTCTTGTTTTTTTCTTGTTTTTCTTCGTTTTTTTATTGGAAATGTTTTAAACTGATAAAGAAAATTTTTTTAAAAAAAAAACTAAACAAAAAACCTAGCCAATTAAGAAAAGATCTCCGCTTGAGATTCTTGGATTCAGAATTGAAATGAGTTTTGCCGATTTTGTCAAGTCAAATCAATTTTAAAAAGGTTCAATGCTTCAAAAACCAATTGAAAACGAATTTTTAATTTAAAATCATTCACAAGCAAGGCCCAGCTCTAATTTTGTCTTTCTGCGCCAGTTCTAACCATTGACTTGCCTTGCAATTAGTTTGATTGATCTAATTATTGACCTGACCCTAGTTTGACGTGTCTAACGTGGTGCAATTTAACATAGCTTGGCTCGCTGGAGAGCTTGGCTCGCTGGAGAGCTTGGCTCGCTGGAGAGCTTGGCTCGCTGGAGAGCTTGGCTCGCTGGAGAGCTTGGCTCGCTGGAGAGCTTGGCTCGCTGGAGAGCTTGGCTCGCTGGAGAGCTTGGCTCGCTGGAGAGCTTGGCTCGCTGGAGAGCTTGGCTCGCTGGAGAGCTTGGCTCGCTGGAGAGCTTGGCTCGCTGGAGAGCTTGGCTCGCTGGAGAGCTTGGCTCGCTGGAGAGCTTGGCTCGCTGGAGAGCTTGGCTCGCTGGAGAGCTTGGCTCGCTGGAGAGCTTGGCTCAGTCAGCTCAACTCTGGTGAGAGCTTGACTCGACCTGGTTCAGCACCCGCCGTTAAGCCGGCTTCTTTACCTGCTGTAGCTTGTCCTACAGGTTCAGCGGTTAAACCGACCTGCTGTAGCTTGTCCTACAGGCGAAGCTACAGCAGGTCAAGCCAGCCACAAAATTAGACCAGCTAGAAATCCAGTCCTTCTAAAAGAATTCAAAATTCTCAAAAGAGGGAAAGTTTCGAGGTACGGGGGATTGAACCCTGGAACTCTGGCATGTAAAGCGAGCACTCTACCACTGAGCTATAGCCTTAGCTGGAGGCCCGATCTTTTTCGGATTTATAAGAGATAATCTGTAAAAAAATAAGAATAAGTCAATTGCAATTGTCAGACAATTTTACTATAAGTTATTGATTTTTAATGAAATAGCTAGCTTCATTTAAACCAGTAAACTTTTTAAAAACCAAGCCTAAGCCTATGCCTAAGCCTGAGCCTGAGCCTGAGCCTAAGCCTAAGCCAAAGCCTAAGCCTAAGCCTGAGCCTAAGCCTAAGCCAAAGCCTAGGCCTAAGCCTAGGCCTGAGCCTAAGCCTAAGCCTAAGCCTAAGCCTGAGCCTGAGCCTAAGCCTAAGCCAAAGCCTAGGCCTAAGCCTAGGCCTGAGCCTAAGCCTAAGCCTAAGCTTAAGCCTGAGCCTCTAAGAACTCACATTTAGCCACATTCCATTGATTTCATCGAACTCGGGATTCAATGCATAGACATTACAGTACTCGTGCACTTCCATTGCCATTCTTTTTTGAGGTAAACTTTGGAGTAATTAACTGAAAAGCTAAAGAAGCTAAAGAAGTTAAAATGAAAAAGAAAAAGGAATTATCTTTATAAAATCTTTTCACAAAGTAATTTCTATAATAAATTAAAGCGAATTTCTCTAAAATTTCTCGATTTTCTTCTGTGTTTTGCTCATTTTTTCGAAAATGGAAAAAAAAATTGGAGAAATTGGGACAAAAAATAAAGAAATGACAGCGATTGGATGGGGAAAATGAGAGCCAGCTCAGCCAGCGAAAGGTTTTTCCATTACAATCAGATCTTCGCATTCGATCGAACCGATCGATCTGATTTTTAATTCAAAATTTAATTATGCTACAAAGTCAGCCTTTCTTCGTCTGTATATCTGCATGGATTTGATAAAAAAGCAGAAACGAATTTCATTCTGGAAGGCACAGGAACTTTTAAGCAAAAATTCAATAGCCCCGGTGAGGAGGGGATCTGCCGGCTATGGCTGGAACTTCACTAACCCTGAATTCGTCTTGAAACTAGTGGAATAGGCTTAATTTTTAAATGAGACTTCATTCTGGAAGGCACAGGAGATCTTAAGCCAAAACCAGCCTGAGTAGGTCAAGTTCATGGTTGGCAGCTAATGTACCGTAATCTCTGGCTATCGTAATCACGGTTCCTGGTTAACGGAGTATCTTAAACTTGTCGGTAAATCAAGTTCTGGAAGTCACAGCAGCTTTTAAACACAAATTCAGCTTGATTGGCTTGATTTCAGGGTAAGCTAATGTACCGTAACCCCTAGCTATAGTAATCTCTAGTTCCTGGTTAACGAAATATCTTAAACTTGTCAGTAAATCAAGTTCTGGAAGTCACAGCAGCGTTTAAGCACAAAATTAGCTTGATTGGAGCAAATTTAGGGTGAACTAATGTACCGTAATCTCTAGCTATCGTAATCCCGGTTCCTGGTTAACGGAGTATCTCAATCTTGTCAGTAAATCAAGTTCTGGAATTCACAATAACTTTTAAGCACAAAATCAGCTCGATTAGATCCTTCCGGGTTGGCAGCTAATGTACCGTAGTCTCTGGCTATCGTAATCCCTGGTTCCTAGTCAACTGAGTATCTTAATCTTGTCAGTAAATCAAGTTCTGGAAGTCACAGCAGCTTTTAAACACAAAATCAGCTTGATTGGCTTGATTTCAGGGTCAGCTAATGTACCGTAATCCCTAGCTATCGTAATCCCGGTTCCTGGTTAGCGAAATATCTTAAAATCGTCGGTAAATCAAGTTCTGGAAGTCACAATAGCTCTTAAGCACAAATTCAGTTCAATTAGCTCAAGTTGAAGGTGCAATGGTTCCACCAACTCTACCGTAATCTTTGACCAACTAAAAAACGATCTAAAACGGTGAATGCGAGTGAAACGAAGGAAGCGAGTCGTTCCACTGAATATCTTTAAAATCAAAAGCATTTCGCTCGAGATAGCTTTGTTGAAACAAACACTTTTCCCGATGAACGGAGGCGGTGCCTATTACCGTAACTTTCTAAGAGTTTTCTCTCATTTTTTCCCTATTCTTTTTTTACAAAAAAAAAAAGTGCTAGTTAGTCTGAAAGCATCAATTAGAAAAGAAATCTTTCAAAAAGAGAAGAAAATTTTCAACTTTTTAAAGACTTTTTTCATTTTTCTATCAAAGGAACTATTTCTCTTTTTGAAAATTTTAAACTTTCAAAACTAGTTTATCGCAAAAAAAAAAATGATTCGGCGCTTTTTTAGAGACCGATTTTTAGCTTTAAAATCACCTAGGAAGTGCCGATTTTTGCAAAAATCTTTTGATTTATTCGTTTTGAAGGAGATTTGAAAAGAAAAAAGATAAAGGAAAGCCTAGGAAATGAATGCAAAGTTTCTGCTCAATGGAATGTCGTAAAGTTGTCAGTAAATCGAGTTCTGGAAGTCACAGCACCTCTGGGAGCACAAATCCAGCTCGATTAGGTCGTTCAGGGTTGGCAGTTAATGTACCGTAATCTCTGGCTATCGTAATCCCGGTTCCTGGTTAACGGAATATCTTAATCCTGTCAGTAAATCAAGTTCTGGAAGTCACAGTAACTCTTAAGCACAAAATCAGCTTGCTTGGCTTGATTTCAGGGTCAGCTAATGTACCGTAATCTCTGGCTATCGTATCCTTAGTTCCTGATTAACGAAATATCTTAAACTTGACAGTAAATCAAGTTCTGGAAGTCACAGTAGCTTTTAAGCACAAATTCAGCTCGATAGCTCAAGTCCAGGGTTCGCAGCCAATGTACCGTAATCTCTGGCTATCCTAATCCCTGGTACCTAGTCAACGGAGTATCTTAAACTTGTAAGTAAACCAAGTTCTGGAAGTCACAGCAGCGTTTAAGCACAAATTCAGCTCGATTAGCTCAAGTTTGGGTCCGCAGCTAATGTACCGTAATCTCTGGCTACCGTAATCCCTGGTTCCTAATTAACGGAGTATCTTAATCTTGTCAGTAAATCAAGTTCTGGAAGTCACAGTAGCTTTTAAGCACAAATTCAGCTCGATTAGGAAAAGTTGGGCAATTTATAGCTTTGGAAACACAATTTAATCAAATCCAGAATCCAGAATCCAATTAAAAGCCAGTAATCAAATCAAATCCCTTTATTATTTTATTTTTTTCGGAAAAATGAATGGGAGCTTCTTTAGGGAGGGATTTTTAGGTTTAAAAATGCCTAAAAAGTGCCGATTTTTTTCAAAATTCTTTTATTTATTGATTTTGAATAAAATTTGAAAAAAGAAAAAAGGAAATGAATAAAAAAAAAAAGATTTGAAAACGGGAAAACTTTCGGAAGAAGGATTTTTGCGAAATTTCGCTGCAAGAGATTTAAAATCGGCTCAACTACAAAATCGATTCAGAATTTAAGCTGATGTTCAGTTCTGTTGATTTCCTTAAGCTAAGCGATCATTGATTTGTTTCAATAAGAAAAAAAAATGTTCATTGCAGTTCATCAGTTCATCGGACAATCACAAAGCTTCCCGCTTTCCCTTTCCCTCTTTTTTTTGTGGCCCAAAAAAAGAGTTAAATGAATGTAATGACAAAGAAGAGGAAGAAGTTTTCTCTTTTCCTTCTTTCTTTTCTTTTCTCTTTTCTTTTTTCTTTTTTCGATTTTCGACAAACAATGAAAGTTTTTTTTGGATAAAAAAGTGAAGAAAGAGTTGGAAATGATGAAGATAATGAATTGGAATGGTTAGTTGAGAGTTGGCTGAGTTGATTTTGAGCTAGGGAATTGGGAAGAAGGGAAGAAGGGAAGAAGAGAAGAAGGGAAGAATTGGGAAGATGGGAGGATGGGAAGAAATGGGAAGATGGGAAGAGGGGAAGAATTGGGAAGAATTGGGAAGAAATGGGAAGCATTGGGAAGCATTGGGTAGAAGGGAAGAATTGGGAAGAAATGGGAAGCATTGGGAAGAATTGGGAAGAAATGGGAAGCATTGGGAAGCATTGGGAAGAAATGGGAAGCATTGAGAAGCATTGGGAAGCATTGGGAAGAAGAGAAGAAGGGAAGAATTGGGAAGATGGGAGGATGGGAAGAAATGGGAAGATGGGAAGAAGGGAAGCGTTGGGAAGCATTGGGAAGAAGGGAAGAATTGGGAAGAAACTTCTGTGCATTAGAAAGAATTCACAGCTTTTTCTAACAGAAAGCTCTTAAGATTTGATAGAAGGATTGAATGAAAATCAAATTCAAATCAAATCAAACTCAAATCAAACTCAAATCAAATCAAAAACAATTCTTAAACAACGAAAGTTGCTTTTACAAATCCCTCAAGGCAAATGGATACAGGTTTTTCTGGGCCTTTTTTTGACTTTAAAGGAAAGGAGGAGATTTTAGGATTAAAGGAAAGGGAAAGCAAAGAATGAGACTGAATCGAGGAGACACTTTTCATCTCTTTCTCTCTCTCTCTCTCTCTCTTTCTCTCTCTTTCTTTTCCCTTTCAGAAACTTTCTCTTTACCAAAATCAAGCTTTCGATGGATTTGGTGGATACAAATTTACCTTCTTAATAATTCTTGAACTTAAAATCCTGAACTTAAAATCTTAAACATCTTGAAGATCTTGAACTTAAGATTTTTAATTCTTGAACTTAAGATCTCCTTGCACCACCTTAATGCCAAATGTCTGGCTAAGATTTAAAAATAACCTAACTAACTAGACTTCTAAGCCTTCTAAGCCTAGTTCCTGCCTCTAACCTGACATTTATTCAAACGCCAGTCTTCTTTGTGCTCTCCAAAACTTTAACGAAGTCTTTCTAATGCACCCGAAAAACAAAGTCATTCTAAATTTATAACGAAACTTCATTCTGGAATGCACAGCAGCTTTCAAGCACAAATTCAATTGCCTTTGTGAAGCGGATCTGTCTGGAACTTCACCAACCCCGAAATTGAGCTTAAAACTATCTTAATAGGCTTCATTTTGTAATGGAACTTAGTTCTGGAAGTCACAGGAGATCTTAAACCCAAATTCAGCTTGATTAGGTCAAGTTCAGGGTTGGCAGCTAATCTACCGTAATCTCTGGCTATTGTAATCCCGGTTCCTGGTTAACGGAGTATCTCAATCTGGTCAGTAAATCAAGTTCTGGAAGTCACAGCAGCGTTTAAGCACAAAATTAGCTTGATTGGAGCAAATTTAGGGTGAACTAATGTACCGTAATCTCTAGCTATCGTAATCCCGGTTCCTGGTTAACGGAGTATCTCAATCTTGTCAGCAAATCAAATTCTGGAAGTCACAGCAGCGTTTAAGCACAAAATCAGCTTGATTAGGTCGTTCAGGGTTGGCAGCTAATCTACCGTAATCTCTGGCTATCATAATCCCTGGTTCCTAATTAACGGAGTATCTTAATCTTGTCAGTAAATCAAATTCTGGAAGTCACAATAACTTTTAAGCACAAATTCAGCTCGATTAGGACAAGTCGGGCAATTTGTAGCTTTATGAACACAATCCAATCAAATCCACAATCGAGAATCCAATCAAAAG